TCCAAACAAATAGCACAAATACAAAAAGCTGGACTATCGCTGCCAGAACATTCTTTATGGGCCCAGTTTCCGCTAGAAATTAATTCAAATTGTAGAGCCTTGTTACAGCTATATTATAGTTGTTCACAGACTGTAGAATTCGATGTCCCTGTAAGTCAGCAGTCCGTACAGTAACAAAACTAAAAATTATATCTAATATAGCGTCCGTGTGCGTGCGTGTGCGTATAAGGCGTAGTAATTAGTAGGTAGTGGGCCACGCGAAACATCAACTCCGCATTTATTTTTGCCTAAAACTACTAAAATCATAGTTGAACCTAATTAAATACTAAATCACATAAAAGACAGTGCAAAAAACAAGAGAAAGTGTTATCTAGACGAAATTATTAAGGAAAAGTGCTTAAAAACGTCTTTAAAAGGTGTCGATAAAACTTTGTTTATAATAAATAGTACAGTGTTATTCTTTCTTCTAACAACTTAAAAACAAACAGTGCAGTTCAAATAACGATTATTCACAGTGAAACAATATGAACAAAAAAACATAAACTAGTGTATTTAGTTAATAGAAAAAGTGACTAAAATCATCGTTTCTCAATTCAAAACTTCAAATACCGTCTAACGTTTTTATAAAATAGATAGCGTACATACAGAATATTAATTTCGTTAAGTTTATTATCTAATTGGTGGCTTAGCGGTTTTATGTTCGGTATAGTCAAGTCAGCTGTTTGGCACGAGTTCGTATCTCGCATACAAGTTCTCTTTTTATAACAGTTTTCGCTATGTATAGTAGTTTCTCTAAACGTTTCGAATATTGAATTGAATTGAATTTGTTGAATTGATATTAAGAAAATAAAAATAACAGGCATTCAAAACAATGGAAAATACACAGGGAGAAATAACGCAATACATAACATTTTTTTATTTTTTTTTTATATCTTTATTTATTATAGAGGGTTAGATCTACTAGATCAAGTCACGCTCATAGGTTCACAACCAAACACATAATCAGACAATGATAAATTAAACGTAAACAAAAGATTACCTATTCTTAATACCTAGTAATACAAGTTTATAAAGTTTTCTAGCTTTATCCGACAATGGAAAAGCTAGGATACTATTATATAGTCCAACACTATTTTTTTCAAAACCCAATTGCTTTCTATATGCTTCGTTCCGTTCACATTCCATCATAATGTGAATAACATCTTCCACAACTCCATATTTGTCATAATTTGGTGAATTTACTTTTCTCATTACAAACGCAAATTTGTTTAACGGTACATGTCCGGAACGAAGCCTCATTCCTGTAATGATTTCTTGCCTTCCCATATCGCATCCTTCAAACCAAAGCAAGCGGGAAAGATGCGGTTGTATCGTCTTGTACCAAATACCTTTTGACTGTGACCTTTCATCAAAGTATTTGGACCACTTTTCTGTACAGTTTTCACGAACTTTAGATAGGAGTTCAGAGTAATAAGGTACACAGTCGGAATTCTCCCCATCACTTATCGCCTCTTTAGCAAGAACGTCTACTGCCTCATTTCCCTCTAAGCCAATATGGGAAGGCACCCATTGTAAGACAATGCTTTTGTTGTTAGATTTTAACGTTACAATATTACTTAATATGTCGTAAGCCAATGGAAAACCGCGAGACAATGAAGTACATTTCTTTAAATGTTGAAGGGCACTGCGAGAATCTGTTAATATCAACAATTTATCATACTTAAGTGACTTGACATAAGATAAGGCTTCTGCAATTGCAATGAGTTCCGCATGCATAACTGACATTTCCTTACCTAAGCAGAGCTTAACATATTCTTTGGTTTGAATGTCTAAAAATGCAGCACCCGTTCCTTCTTTATCCTTAGAGCTAAATATTTATGACATAAAATTCGTAGGTAATGGGGATTGTATTTATGTTTAGGTGCATTTACAAATTCTATTTGAGGGATTATTGAATCGGACAAATCCAACTTGCTAATCCACGAATTGAGTGAAAACATTTCTAAGTGAGGACTTGAAAACATACGAGTTTCTTTAAATAATCTATAGATTGAACTAGCAGTGGGGTTTTTCTACGTCGCCAATAAAAGCTTTCTTTAAGTTCATCAAGAATACATAATAAATTTGTCACAATATTTTCATCAATAGACCTACACTTTAACCAAAATTTACCAGCTAAATATCTTCTCCGATATAGATTATATTATATATATAGATAGGAGTGCCTTGACAAACCCACCAATTAACCGCATACACTGATTTTGTATTTGACTGGTGTCAAAACTTATACATAAAATTTTAGTTCCGTGCACTGACCTCTATATATGCGTACTTGTATATATAGAGGTCAGTGGTTCCGTGGGACTTCTTTCATTAAACAGACCACAGAGATAACATTTTGGTTTGGATGCAATAAACATCTAGTTTTATTAAATGTGTTTTATGGCTATTATCAAATAAAAAGCTGGCATAATCCAATCTTTCTTTTTCTATTTACTAATCGTATAATAGCTATATATAAGCGACGTAGCTGAACTGGGTGTACTCCCCAACCTGGTCCTATTAAAACTTTCAAAATATTTACAAACTTAAGGGCTTTCTCTTTTATTTCATTTTTGTGCTTGTTCCATAGAAGAGATCGATGTAACCATAACCCTAAATATTTAATGCTTTCAACGATTTTAAGGCTTCTTTTGTTAACTGTTACATTTATGCTTTTCCTTACGCGTCCATTCTTAAATATGCATACTTTACTTTTCGATGAAGATATTTCTAGGCCTAACGTAAAAAATAAACTAGTAAGAGTATTCAGAGCTAACTGTATATCAATAACTCCGTTACTGATACTGTCGCAATTTTTATGTATAACAAAATCATCCGCATATTGAGAGATATAAACATTCTTGACGCTTTTACATACATTAAGAGTAGCTATATTAAACAAAAGAGGAGATGATGAATCTCCTTGGGCTAGCCCTTGCCCCGTAAATCTACTGATAAACACGTTATCCACATACATTTTGAGATGTCGTTTATTAAGGAAACTACTAAGATATTGACAAATTTTTTTCCCTATATTTAGTTGATCTAAAGTGTACAGTAATGCATTTATGTCAACATTATTATACGCATTGTCTAAATATAAGAAACATCCTATCGTGGACTGATTCTCTGAAAACCCTATTTGTATCCTTGATACCAAACTATTAAGACTATCTAAGCAGGATCGGCTTCTCCTAAAACCGAACGTATTAGAAGAAAAGACTTTGTTTTTTTTTCCAGAAACCATTTTAGTCTCCCTTTAATAATTGAATGAAAGATTTTGCATAAGCAAGACATAAGTGATATTGGGCGCAAGGACGATACATCATTAATGTCTTTTCCAGGCTTTGGGATTGCTATAATACCAATATCTCGTCATTGTGATGGTACGAAACTGTTGTTAAGAAAAGCATTATACAGTTCGATTAAAATGCATTTGCCCTTAAACGGAAGGTGTTTCAACATTGAATATGCTATGCCATCGGATCCAGGAGATGTATCCTTCAATTTACTACATGTGTCAAGCTCCTGAATCGAGACCTCTTCCTCTAGTAACATGTTACTAGAACTGAAACTAGCCTGTTCCGGTGAAACAAAATCTGGCGTTAAACTGCGAAGAAGTATTTCTGCTTTTTCTCTGTCTATATGGTGGGTATTATGTGACCTAAAACCTTTCATTCATCTCATCTTATTCCACATATCCCTAGTGGTTGTTTTTTCATTTATCGAATCACAAAACCTCTGCCAATTACATAATTTAGCCTGACGAATTAACCTCTGTGTGTCTCTAATTTTTTCTTGGAGTATGGATAAGTTCTGAGGTGTTGAGTTACGTCTAACCCTAGCCAGTGCTTATCTACGAATAGCTACCGACTTCGATAATTCTACGTCCCAGTAAGACTTCGGTACAAATTTAGACTCTGGGTTTTGATTTATTTTTATAAAAGGGATGTGAATGTCGGCTGCTAAATTTAAATATTTCAAAAATGTATTGTAACATTTTTGAAGGTCGGTTGTGTGTATTGGGAACTGATCAAAGTGTTTCAAGAGTACTCTTATAACCATCCCAGTTTGCTTTTTTAAAATTCCTTCTAAGATCACACTCTAACCGCTTTTGACATAAACCTGATATTTTAATCATAAGATGATCACTACCTAAAGTTTCTCGAAGTACCCTCCAATTAAATTTATGAACGATATCCGACGTCATAAGTGATAGATCGGGAGATGACGCTTGTAAGACTCTATTTACGAATCTAATTCGAGTGCTTTCTACATTATTTAATATAGCAAAGTTAGTATCTAAAAACGCGTCAAATATTTGTGAACCCCTGTTATCAGTCTTGTACGACCAGCTTGAGTGGTGAGCGTTGAAGTCCCCAATGATTACGGTTTTACAACTAAATGTAGAAAATAATTCATCCCAATTTCTTTGGCAAGTGCGCACTGACGATGGACAATAGATAGAAACGATATTCTCTAAATCCTGACAGTTAAATTTTTTATATAAATAGCTTCTATGCCATCATTACTTAGTTGTAAATGCCCCCTAACCGTTTTAAGAGATTTGTGCGCTAAAACAGCAACACCCCCATAAGAGTCAGCTCTATCCTTACGGTAAGTATTATAATCTTTGATTTTAATATAAGTTTCAGAGTTTAACCAAGTTTCGCTTAAGGCTACGATATGTATTTTTTCCATAGTTAATAAAGGCTCTAAGGACATTAGTTTAGGCTTAACTCTTTGAGCATTCCACTGTAAGATATTAAGATTTACTATTTTACAGTTAAGGTGTTCATGCATTAAATAAGCTTAAAACGGTTTTCAACATTGGCCATTCCGAGATATTGTCCACAGTTACCAAAATTAACCACTCAACACATAACTTTATCACTTTGTAAACTTTCTTTTGCAAACTAAAATTATTAAAATGGTAAATAGGTTAAAGGAAAAAATTATTAAATTAATTCCTTTAACCTCATAAGTAGCTCACTGAAAGATATTTTATTAGAAGATTCGTTGTTATTTGCCTCACTATAGCTAGTACTAGGTTCAAATCTATAACTTTGTAATGACGTGTCACACTCTGTACTTCTTTTCTCCTTTTTTATTTGGCGCCGACGGGGCGACGATTTCTTACTTTCGCATTGGCTAATATTGTCTTCGTTATGCAATATGCTGTTGGCCGTCACTTCTACAAAAGTAGGAACATTTTGGACTTTAGTCGCTTCCCTCTTCGATGTGTTATAATTACACTCCTGCTGGTTCTTTTTTCTTTTTTCTTGTTCTATAAATTTTAGGTCCATTTGTCTACGTGGTGCTGGCGCAACATAGATTGTTAAAGCCCTTCTGTATGTGCAATTAAACTCGGCCATAAGTTCTCGCAACCTTCTTTCTTTGAGGTAAGCAGGGCAAGTTTCAGCTAAAGCCATGTGACTTCCAGAACAATTGACACATTTGAATGTTTTAGTGTCACAATTCTCATGTTCTCCCCCACATTTCGGGCACATTGTTTTCTTAAATGGACATAACTTGCGAATGTGACCCAACTTCCAACATTGTGAGCATTGTGAAACGGGATAAACATATGGCTGAACAGTTATTTTCATATCGAAAATATATACGTATGAAGGTAGAGAGGACCCTTTAAAACAAAGCCGTATGGTTTCACTTGGACACCACCCTTCTTGTTTCGTGTAACTTCGTCGCTTAAGCCTTTAAACGGATATTAATTCTATAGAATCTGGGCATGATATATTTTTTATAATTTCTTATTCAGACATTTCTAACTCCACTTCTCTTATAATTCCGTAAGAGTAGTTAACCTCCATTGCCTTTTGAATTCTCCATCCCATAGAAATGTATGTCGCACAGGTACTTAATTTTTGAACGTTTTCCTCATTCGAAAATTGCAACCCTACTTTAAATGGGTTTAAGTATTTCACTCTAATTATATCAGTAATTCCATTTTCTTTGAATAACCGTGCCAAAGCAAATTGCTTGGGCAGCTTTTCATTGCATGCAATGTATACCTCGATATCTGTTTCTGTACTTAAGTTCTCATCCTCGTGCAGTCGTTTTTTCTTTCCCTTTCCCTTCACAATATTCCACTTATCATCACTCTCCTCCGTTTCTCTGATTCTTTTAATAATCCTAGGCGTATTTTTACCAATACTATCCCGCTCTTCTACTTCTAATTCTGCAATATCGTCTTCGCTATACATAATATTAATGTTAAATTCTTCATTGTCGTCCGTCATTTTGCGTATACCCGCAAGTACCACTGATTGAGCTTGCGCGTAAGCAGGCCGCGCGGCCCTACCTACCCGCGTGAGTAAGCAATAACAAGCAGCGTACGTCAACACTTAGCGATGCGTGTGAACGCGTGCTACTCGCTTAACGCCAGACGCGAGACTTTACATAACATTTAGAAAACATATTACTCAACTAAATACGAGTACTTCGGATGATGAATCATTAATATCGTTTAGATCAGAAAAAATGAACAGAGCAAGAAGTCTACTGGACTTATCAACACGGTGTAATGAAACTATGGAAAAATTAAAAGATGAAATACATACATTAAAAAGGCAATTAGAAAGTGCTAATAAGGAAATAGACGACCTGATCTTAGAAAATAATAATCTAAAATCTAAAATAATATCATTAGAATACAAAATAAAAAACCTGAATAAAATTTGTTGTAGTCTTTCAGACTCTCCCAGAAACTCAAGTACTTCTACAATAAAGAAACCTACTCGAAAAATAAAACGCACTCTTTTCGTGCCGCAAATGGACTTATTACGTTCAAATAACACTAAAGAAGGAACTGTTTTGGATATACATCAAATGAGAAGTTTCTCAAAGTGCAGATAATGTTAAAAAAACTCTAAAGAGGTATTAAAAAAGAGAAAATTCATATTAGGAGGATTTTAAAACTGATTAGAGCAACACAAAATGTTTAACCTATAACGAAGAAATCTTAAAAGCTTTTAATATTGAAGACTCTAAATACTACTTTATTCTTTGTGTTGGGAAATGTAAAAGATTTCTTAGCTTAATAAAAAATACTCTTTTTTATACTTAATCTAATACATTTTAAATGAATTAAATAATTTGTTAAAAAACTTTTATAATGTAATTTTGTGACAAACAGATCTAGGACGGAATATCACGCAAAGATTAATCTAAGATTAGACTCTACATACTACGAAAAGCATTTTATTAAAAATATTAAAACTATTATTAAAAATCGCAGTAATACATCTGATACGATGTACAGTATGGGAAAATCCAAAGAAATAATTATGTTAGCTAATGAAAGAAAAACAGATGAACCTAAAATTGGCACCATACCATATTATTTCAAAAAGGTTAATAAATTAAATAAGACCTTAACTGTTGAAAAAAGCACAAACGTAAATGTGTCCACGACTCCATTTTTTCATACGCAATAATAACCAAAAACATGAAATTGCTTCCATACGATATTAAAACATAGCCGGTTTGCTTAACAAAATTGATTCGATAGAACTATGTATTGATGAACTAACAAATGAGGGGCAAGAAATAAACTTTTTATGTTTTAGTGAAACATTTGTTAAAAAGGGAGATGAGAATAACATTCAGTTTAAAAATTTTAAATTAGCTTCATTATATTGTAGAACAAAAGAAAAACGTGGAGGTGTATGTATTTTTATTAGAAAGTCAATAGAATTTAAGGCTATACAATTATGCTATGAATTATCTGCAGACAAAATTTTTGAGGGTTGCGGAATAGAGGTACCAAGTTACAAATGTGTAATTTTTTGTGTATATAGAACTCCCAATTTGACTGTATAAATATTTTTCAACAAACTAGATCTTCTTTTTCATAAATTGGCATTGCTTAATAAAAAGAAAGTCATATTGTGTGGTGACTTTAATATTGACACACTTAAGATTAATAACGTCACTCATGACTTAAAAAATTTATTATACAGCTACAACCTTAAACTACATAATGATAAATCTACGAGACATCACACATGTATTGATCATATAGCTAGCAATTTTAAAGAGTCTGATATTTCTAGTTCCCTGTACAATTTTCATTTATCAGATCATAACACCTGTCAATCTCTAAGGTTTCCAATTAAACTGCTACCTAAAATTAAATACTGGTATACTACGAAAAGAAATTACTCTAAGGAAAATATTGATAAGTTTCGTAAATGCATTCGAAATATATCGTGGGAAAAAGAAACTACAGATGACATTTTTAATAATATTTTTAATAAATTTCATGACTTGATTTGTTTATTATATGACCTCTGTTTTCCATTACAAAAATATAAAATCAAAACAGACAATCTCGCTCCAAAGTGTATCACAAAGGGTATAAGGGTTGCAAGTAAAACTAATAGAAAACTAAAACGTAAATATTACAAAACAAAAAGTTTAGAAAACAAATTAATCTATAATAAATATTCAAAATTAAACTCGAAAATTTTTTTTAACATGAAACACCTGTTACACTCAAAAAGTAAAAGTAAAGCTACCTGGGAAATCATTAAAAATTATGAATATAATGATACACGAAATAATAATATTGACTGGATTAATTGTAATGGAACTAAAATAGATCATCCTTTCGTCATTGCCAGTAAATTTAATGAGTATTTTATTAGTACAGCTCTTCACAGCCGTTCTTCTTTATATAATAATAATAAAAGGAATATGCATGAAAATGTTCAATCATCGATCTTTTTAAAACCTTTCACATTAAATGAAATCATAAGTATAATAAATTCTCTTAATAATACTAAATCTGTTGGTTATGATTCTATTACTACACATAAACTGAAATCGTGTGTGAAGGAATTTGCACCAATTCTGACGTACTTAATAAATCTTTCTTTCATACATGGAAGATTTCCAGATAAATTAAAAACATCTATAGTCAAACCCTTATTTAAAAACGATGACCGTCATGAGATTCATAACTATAGGCCGATTACGTTGATACCCATTCTATCCAAAATATTTGAAAAAGCCATGCATAGTCCAATTATTAGTTTTGTTGCAAAATATACTATAATCAGAAACGAACAAAATGGCTTTCAAAACCATAAATCTACTACACTTGCTACCTTTTCAATGATACGTCGAATAACTGAATGTATTAATAATAGAGTACCAACAGTAGGCATCTTTTTTGATATGTCTAAAGCCTTTGACTGTGTAGAACACAGCAAGTTGTTGTACAAATGTAAAAAACTAGGAATCAGAGGACCGGCTTTAGAATGGATCGAAAGTTATTTGAAAAATCGGAAACAATGTGTTGAATTATCACGTATTAATAATAAACTAGAGTTAACATATTACAGATCTCCTTATCTACAAAATGACTATGGGGTACCTCAAGGGAGTGTCTTAGGCCCTTTATTGTTCATTCTATACATAAACGACTTACCTAAAGTATAACAAATCATCAGTCAATACTATTTGCTGATGACATATCAATTGTTATACCCCACACTAATAAGTCACAGATATATGAACAAGAAATAAATTCTACTATAGAGTCAGTTATATCATGGCTAGAAGATAATAATTTACGAGTCAACACTAACAAAACTAAATATATTCAATTTGGAAATTATAAAACAAAACCACACAAATTGGAAGTCTGCTTAAGATATAAGAACGAAAGATTAGTAGAGGTAGTTGATACACAATTCCTAGGTGTTACTATTGACCGGTATGTAAATTGGAAATTACACGTACAAAAAGTATGCAAAAGAGTTAATCAATTTGTTATTGCATTACGTAAACTTCAAAATGTAGCAGGTCCACAAGCAGCACGTATTGCTTACTACGGGTACGTTGAATCCGTTTTAAGATATGGACTACTCTTGTGGGGCAACTCAACTGACGCAAACAAAGCCTTCCTAAGTCAGAAGAAATGTATTCGTGCACTGTGTAATGTAGGCCCTCTTGAAAGCTGTAGACTCCTGTTCAAGGAAAAAAGTATTCTCACTTTAACTGGTTTATATATATTGGAAATCCGTGTTTTCATTAGAAATAATTCTAATCAATTTGTTACTGTGCAAGAAAATAATAACTCTCTAGCAAAAAGAGATCCGACACGTCTACTCATGCCATCTTGTAAAACTACATTATTCCAGAGAAATTGCCTAATGATGTGTATCAAGGTTTATAATAAAGTTCCTAAAAATATTCGTGAACAACCATTAAGGCGAATGAAAAAAAGTTTAAAGCAGTGGCTAATAAATACTGCCTTTTATAATATCAAAGAATTCTTTAACCATAAATTTTGATTTAAATTTTATTGATTTTGCTTAACTAAGTAAAATACTATAGATCCAGGATTTTGCGTGATATTTCTCAAATGAACAAAAAATAATTTTACTATTTTTGTTATGTTTTCCTAAAAACATAAATATAAATTGTTTATGAAAGAAAAAGAAAATTTATAAAAGTGTTTATTTCAAATTTAATTTTTTAATTTTAGTTTGTTTTTTAACATATTTATTTTAAACAATTTTTGCGCATGCCACAAAAGGCAAAACATGTGGAAACAAACGTTGACTCTGTATCCATCCGTCTGTACCCATGTTTTAGCGAAATAAATGATTTGATTTGATTTAGTAGTAGTAGTAGTTTGTTTAATGTCAATTTTTATAATCCATTTTAGAATGTCCCTTTGTCACAGGGAACTATTATGATTAAAGAGAGACCACTTTTAGAACCTAAAATAGATCTAATATTACCTTTACATAAAAATTTCTTTATACAAAAAGCTTATGACAAAGGTGAAAGGTCATAGATAATAATTAAAACTACTATTCAATTTAACCGGTCTCTACGGCCTACAAATCACTCGACGACGTGAGCGACCTCTGCTCCCGGTAACCAGATATACTTCAACAACTTACCTACCCTTCCTTTCTCCTTAAATAATTACTTGTAATAGCGACTCATTAAAAGCTGACGACACAATACGAACAGAACAGAACGAAACAAGTTTTATTACAAGTATTTTTTTATTATATTTCTTTTATGTTATAGAAAAAGGGTGACAAATGAGCACACAGTCCACCCGATGGTAGGTGGAAGATGTGATCCATGAACATCTACATATATCCTCGAAATATAATAAAATAAGATCCCTAAAAATAAGATATGTTGACACCCCCGAGAAACTACCATGGATGCCTCGTTTCCAATTTAACTGGTAAAGGGTCTTCGGTTCTCTACAATCATCATACGAAATACAGCAGCATTAAGTTACTATTTTACCGCTGATATTCTTTGAGAGCGTGGTCCTTCCCCGGTCGAGCCGACCCATTCCTGCTACAACTAATATAGTTGCAACGTGGCTCTACCACGTATAAAATTATTTCACATGTCTTCGACATATTTTTTTGGTTTCTCAAACATCGCTTCTCATGACTTTTCCATTCACCGCCGAGCACGTAAATCTGCACTTAAAATTGCAATTAACAATTTCGTTAGTGCCGACGGGGATCGAACCCGGGTAAATCGCGCACTGTGAATTTTACAGCGAGCACTTAGCCAGTGAGATAGCAAGTGTGCTGACAATAAAACACATCTCTAATAAAAACCCATTTATTCTTATCTCCCACATACATCATCTTTACACGATATTGTACACTATACACAAACCAGGAAGTCGGGAGATTAATAAATAATACAAAGTATGTGATTTCCACCCCGACAGAATACAATTTATTATGATTTTATTACAATAAGGGTGACAAACGAGCACGCATTCCATTATATGATAACTGGATGTTGTGGCCCATAAACATATCTATCCTCGAATACGAATCTAAACGAAGATACGTTGTCACCCCTGAGACTAAGATACAATGCCTCTAGAAATAAAAAAACAATAGAAAAGCGTATTTTTATAATATCGAAAATTATCCATAAATATCCAAATAAAAAATTAACAGCCATGGTGAAAAATCCAAATACGAAGTTTCAAAAATAATATAAAATACATTAAGCTTACATAGTCGCCTAGGTATAAATACATACAAATTGTAATAATGCTTGAAATTTTGCACTACGTTTGGAATTTGAACTAAGTTGCAATAAAACTCGTAAAAATTGTTTCATCGTTTTACGGATAATCGCTTATAATTTCAAAATAGTGAGGTAAAAAAAGAGTTAGGTTTAAGGCTTTTCTCCCGTATCGTGGAGGCATTTTAATATATGTATATGTTACACATGGACAAACATCCAGACATGGAACTATTATTTGGAGGCCATAATGAACGTTTGTTCCGCGCGGGATTCGAACCCGCGGTCCTCGGCACCGCAACATAATGCGTACTGCGTTAGGATTATCGAATATAAGCTATTGTGTCCCCAAACGAGTCTAAATCAGATAATATACAGAGTACAAACCTTATTGCCGCATCGCTAAAATAAGTAAATCTTTCAAGGTATTATTTAATTATAAAATAAAAATCTTTTACAAATCAGCACAGAAAAAAGCTTAAATAAGGTAATAAATTTTAAAAAAAATTATCACGGTCACTAGGCGCCATATTACTGTTACTTAAATTTATAAAGTATAAGAATATATAGTACACATTAAAATTTCAATAGATTCAATATCACATACAAAATTATTTACAATACTAAATAACTGGTATTTGTCTAAGTTATAAAAATCTCTTACGTTTTCCAAATAATCTATAGAATGAGTCGGACAAAAAAACGAAAGAAACTTCGTGCATACATATACTACATGCAACTTATTGTAAGAACAAGCTTTCACACATACGCGTATTATAATATGTGTGCATAAGTGTGCGTCTGTCCTTATAATAAAAACAAAATTAAGGATGGTGACGGGGCGTCACTTAGACTGTACCAAAGATATATTATGAGTCGACTGTACATTGTGTTTTATCTATTTTATTTGGTCTGAATGAAAAGAAGTGTAGAAGTGAGGAGAACCAACTCCCATAGGAGAATAGTTGAAAAAGTGTCCATCTGTAGGCAGTAAATAACAGTTCAAAAACTCTCCACTACAGCGCTCGAGTAGCTACGGGGTATGTTAAATCGCCGTAAAATATGTTGAGAGTGATTTTGAATTGAAATTTTGAAAGCAATAAAATAATTATTGTAAAAAGAATTATGTTGAAAGTCTGTGCAATAAAAAAATTATAAAAAATTCTTTAAAATTTAGACTGTAGCTACAGTGGCGCCACCCTTATTTAGCGCTTTCCTACGGACACTTTTTATACAGTCTGTACTCCTTACCTCTATAGAATGGAGCTTTGAAAATTAACATTAATCTAAACAGAACTGTCAAAGTGACAGATCGATAGAAAAATAATCTTGCCTACAAACGATACATACTCTGACCTTGAATATAAAATCACACTACAAGAGCTTGGAAGTAAAAATTGTTTGAATCACAATGAATTATTAACCCGTTTATTTCTTAACTTTACAATAGAAACATTATAGTCTGTGGTCCGATAGATTACACATTACAATGTTTTTAAACTCTATTACATTAAACATAAGGTTAAAACTTACAGGAAGATTGTTTCTACTACTCTATAATAATATTCTTTACTAGTAATCATAAGCCAGTGTCCCTCGGACCGAATTCTTCTAGAAACCTTACTTTATGAAAGTAACATTAAATTTCCTAGCCTTTTCCTCGTGCTTATCTTATGTCATCTCGGATAACCGAAACCACGTATACGTGTATACGCGATACACCATAATAGCTAATAATTTCGGAAATTGTGGAATTTAAAGATCGCACAACGGAATCACATTTTACGAGTTCGAACCAAGAAATCGCACTTCGCCTTAAACGAAATCTTTTATCACTGCTCCCCGCCACTGTCTACAGAATCCGAAGCCGTTTCGGAAGAAATAGACAGAGGGCCGATGGTAACGACTGGTACATCTTTTTCCAACGGCCGGAATGACCAGTTACCGGCACCGTCGAACTCCAGTACATGCGTATGGTATTTCCTAAAAAAGTCATTAAATAAAATTAATAAAACAAAGTTATATATGGTAACATAGAATACTATAATACAGAATAGAATGGCTGTCAACCTTATTTTGTACGAGGATCGGCGTCGCCGGGAGCACACATACAAGCAATTACATCGTATTATCAGTTATCACTACTACAAACCCAATTCGCTGTGTTGACAGACTGAGTAAATTTACACATTTTAGACTATTGATTAATGTTCAAAATCATCATTAAAAAAATCGTTTAAATTTTAATACATATTCATAGGTTACATAATAGAATGCAATTTGGTATTTTAAAAATAATTTGCATGCAAAATTTGGAAACGATTGTAACGTCAAAACACATCTCGTGTTGACATTTATACATGTGAATTAACATGCTAGTGACATTTTAGTGGAAACACGGGCTCCGCCCACTCCCTCGTTCTATTATGTATGTAATTATAGTATTCTATATAATGTCCTCCCAACCTAATCTCGGTCACGGCGGCCAGTCTTAACGGATACTAGCCCTTTGCGCTAGACAGGATTATAGTGCGTATGCGCAAGCACCGGTGCACTCTATTCCCTCACTCTCGTGGTCCGATGGGATGGTAATCCGACACGACCGGAGAGAGACCAGGTGCAGGACCAAAAGCTTTACGTGCTTTCCGAAGCACGGGGGTGAAAACACCGCCAACTTCCTGACTCCGGGCAGCTACTGAGAATTTCTTGACAGAAAAACCCATTTACTGATTTTGACTGCGTCGTTGGTCTTGTGGCCGAATACGCAGTTGTTGATCATGAAGACAGGTTCGACAGTTAAATATAGCCATAATAAAGACATTTAATTCATCACTACAATACTACTTTTTTACTATAGGATACAGGTTTAGAAACTTACCAAACGCTGGGTCGGTGCGAAATAGAGAGCAACGTGATGCCTTCCTTAATTGCTTCTTCGTACATCACCACTTCGGTTTCCATCGACACCGCGCTGGTACATTCGTCCAACAACGCGTACACAGGCCTGGGAATAGAAAATATCATGAGAAGAAAGAACTCGCGTACTTCGTTACCGAACACGATGAATATAATTTGTGGAATATGTTTAGACTAAACAAGTAACGGCAGATTCTTTACGTGGTAGAGCCACGCTGCAGCTATATTATAGTTGTAGCACGAATGGATCAGGTCAACCGGGGCAGGACCACGCTCTCACAGAATACTAGAGTAAAATAGCAACTTAATGCTGCTGTGTTTCGTATGGTGTGTTGAGAACCGAAGACCCCTTTTAACTAGAATCAAGGCATTCCATCTTAGTCCTCAGGAGTGACAACGTATTTGAATCTTAATTGAAGATGAATGTGGATGTCTATGGTACACAGCATTCATTTACTATCAGGTAGACTATGTGCTTGTTTGTCACCCAATGCTATAAAAAAAGGATTAGAATAAATTTAGGTTTACTAATAAACGTTAGTGTGAGCGAATGCACTGACCGGTGGTAGAACATGCGCGCCATGGCGAGGCACTGCTTCTCGCCGCCGGAGAGCGTGGTGCGCCAGTCGGCGAGCGCGCGCAGACCGCCGAGGCGCGCGGCGCACTGCTCGAGGCGCGAGCTAGTGAGTGTGAGCGAGTGAGCGAGTGCACTGACCGGTGATAGAACATGCGCGCCATGGCGAGGCGCTGCTTCTCGCCGCCGGAGAGCGTGGTGCGCCAGTCGGCGAGCGCGCGCAGACCGCCGAGGCGCGCGGCGCACTGCTCGAGGCACGAGCTGGTGAGTGTGAGCGAGTGAGCGAGTGCACTGACCGGTGGTAGAACATGCGCGCCATGGCGAGGCGCTGCTTCTCGCCGCCGGAGAGCGTGGCGCGCCAGTCGGCGAACGCGCGCAGACCGCCGAGGGGCGCGGCGCACTGCTCGAGGCGCGAGCTAGTGAGTGTGAGCGAGTGAGCGAGTGCACTGACCGGTGGTAGAACATGCGCGCCATGGCAAGGCGCTGCTTCTCGCTGCCGGAGAGCGTGGTGCGCCAGTCGGCGAGCGCGCGCAGACCGCCGAGGCGCGCAGCACACTGCTCGAGGCGCGAGCTAGTGAGTGTGAGCGAGTGAGCGAGTGCACTGACCGGTGGTAGAACATGCGCGCCATGGCGAGGCGCTGCTTCTCGCCGCCGGAGAGCGTGGCACGCCAGTCGGCGAACGCGCGCAGACCGCCGAGGGGCGCGGCGCACTGCTCGAGGCGCGAGCTAGTGAGTGTGAGCGAGTGAGCGAGTGCACTGACCGGTGGTAGAACATGCGCGCCATGGCAAGGCGCTGTTTCTCGCTGCCGGAGAGCGTGGTGCGCCAGTCGGCGAGCGCGCGCAGACCGCCGAGGCGCGCGGCACACTGCTCGAGGCGCGAGCTAGTGAGTGTGAGCGAGTGAGCGAGTGCACTGACCGGTGGTAGAACATGCGCGCCATGGCGAGGCGCTTCTTCTCGCCGCCGGAGAGCGTGGCACGCCAGTCGGCGAGCGCACGCAGGCCGCCGAGGCGCGCGGCGCACTGCTCGAGGCGCGAGCTGGTGAGTGTGAGCGAGTGTACTGACCGGTGGTAGAACATGCGCGCCATGGCGAGGCGTTGCTTCTCGCCGCCGGAGAGCGTGGCGCGCCAGTCGGCGAGCGCGCGCAGGCCGCCGAGGCGCGCGGCGCACTGCTCGAGGCGCACGACGCGCAGGATGTGCGCCGCGCGCGCCTCCGCCTCCGCGTCGCCCGGCGCCGCGCGCGATGGGTACGTCACCTGGTCCAGCAGTGACCCCATCGACATGTACGGCCTGGACACAACATTCTACTACATATCACAACTCCTTACATGGTTTAGTAAGCTGACGTGGCAATGGGCCAGTCATATACGAGTAGAAACGGTGAAAGCAACTCTAAGTAATGCTATTTTGCAATTTATTCAATTTCAATATTATAGTAGCTCGAAGAACCGACAACAGATGTGGATGAAAGGTTCTCGAGTCGGGAAGCCTCGTGTCGGTAAACGAAGTGTAGGGCGGCATTCCACTAGTTAGAATGAAGACCTGGTAAGACATGCAGGAAATGATGGATACTTTGTGGCATTGCAGCAGTGGATTTTTGAAGGGCTGTGTTAAATGATGACAAAGTGACAATGATGTAAAGCTTTTGATCGTATAGACCATCTGCTGCTGCATAAAACTTATTTCTTACATTTACACGAACACTACACATTGATTAAAACTACTGGAAAGCACCCGAAACGTCGGGCATAAAAATCAATTAAAATTAAACGCGATAAAATCCGTAAAAGTAGTTTTAATCAATCATATAAAGCTGTTATACACGATAGCTTATGCAGATAGTTTTTGTCGTATATTAGTAATAGATCCCAGGCGTATACAATATATGGGTTTAAGCCCGCGTAGATGTCAATTCGTTCTAGAGTGCCGCAAGGCTCTTTGTAAGGGCCTTTACTATTTGTCGTGTTTGTAAATGTCATTGCTTTTTGTTTTGATATAATAAAAGGCTTATTAAACGTAGACGATACAAAAATATTCATAGACATCAATAACTTGGATGATTGTGAACGTATACAATGCGATTTAAATATTATACAAATCTATACAATATTTTATTCGAAACAAGCTAGATTTAAATGTATCCAAATATTTCTCAATAACTTTTTCTCAGAAAAGCAACACTATAAATTATCAACAATAAGTCGCTTATTAAAGCCACGTCTCTGAAAGATTTATTTTTTATTTTATTTAATTTATTAAGATATAGAAACAAATGTACAAAGGTATTTATAAAAGTTTTATCAAAAAAGAGTATATGTGAACATTCAACACCGTATACCACATATAAAAAAAGAACCTAAGCATTAAAAAAGCATAAAAGAATCTTGCACCAATCAAATATTAAATTTGTAATACGTGTATATTTCCCGCATTGAATCCATACAAAAAAGGATTCTTGAAGATTTAAAGTTTAAAGGTAAGCGGGATCACAGATACGAGATAAGGTGTAGGGGATAACACTTTTTACCCCTGAGACAGAAGACCACAAATATCAGATATTATGTTGATGGTAAAATTGTTAGAGGCTTCATGGACTGCCCGTCCTTGTAGGACTTATTGGCAAGCTAACATCTGGGTACCACGCAAATTACCTAGAAGACGTACCTAACCTAAAGCCAGCACTGTTTATCGACGCAACTCTTTCTATATTAGCATAAGTAACTTTTTCAACGATCTATCATAAGGCAACAGCAACTTCGAATTATTTACGACTAAAACTATATATCAAATAACAACAATCTGTTTGCCTCTAAGTTTTTCAGCCCCCACTCTATGCAGGTCATAAATTTTTAGGTTTTCCGCATTTTTGTATTTTTTTATTTGATCGATATTGTTTTGAGGTAATGCTTATGTGTTTACCTTTATATAGCCATGTAGATTTTAAAATTTGTAATAATTGAGAGTCGTGGTAGCTCAGATGGTTAACGCTCGCTGTAAATTCACAGTACGCGAGCAATCCTGGTTCTATCCCCGTCGGTATCAATGAAATTGTTATTGTAATTTTAAGTGCTGGTTTACTACGTGTTCGGCGGTGAAGAAAACATCGTGAGGAAACCTGCGTGTTTGAGAAATAAGAAAAAAATTCAAAGACATGTGAAGTTCGCTAACATGCATTGGGGCAACGCGGCGGTGGACACTTCCTTGCCCTAAAATCCACTCAGTGTTGAGAGGAGGCCTGTGCCCAACAATGGGACGTATAATGTCTGCAACTAAGAAACTAAACTGAAACCAAATAATTGAAATGCATTAAATCTGTTGGTGTTCCGAATAAAATAAAATAAATGTTTGTGGTACCGAAAACCTGGCAACTTTGTCATTTTAGGTAGGATTAAAAAATCTAGCACTAATTTTTGAAATGATACTCTCAGACTAGGCGTCAATGTTAAATGTGACATTATATTCTTCCTGGATTTGGTATTCATTAGTGATATTAAAATTTCATGTTGCCATATCAAAAAAAAAAAAGACGTGTGGCACTCGGGGACTGCCGCGGTAAAGCTATTGCATAGCATTTTTTATCAACTTATGCAATTATAATTAATTATTTATTTTATTCATGCAGTTAAGTCTTTGATATTAAATCAAGTTACACTTTTTGAGCGTGGTGATCGATAAGAAAACAATTTTTTTCTCTTATTGTATAAATGAGAAGTTAATATTGTTTAAAATATTTTTAATATCTTACAATACATGTAGGTTATTCAGGAATTTTTATCATTCAGTTAGCAGCTAGTGTACACGTTCTATGGATCATAAAAACTGTATTATTCGGGCTAAACGAATCTAATAAAGATCTGTTATTTTTGTCTCCTGCGAAAAAAACAGACTATAGGAATCTATCGAATACCTACATAAACAAAATATCACCTATAAATAAAATATTACGAAGCGGAATAACTAATAAGAGTGGCAACGTCGCACTATACAAAGGAATTGCGTTAAGACGACACCTCGAAAGGGCTATCGCCGGACTGATCCGAGTGAATGCATAATTTCTATAAAAACTTGAAAAAACGCCCTCATAAGGTCTAAAATAGCGTAGCGCCCGCGACGATTAAAAGCGCTTAGAAATTCTCAGAAACTTTAAAATATTTTTGTAAAAATTATTGATTTGAGTAATCAAAATAATGAGCAAGTAAATTATGAATATTAATGTTATGAATATATTTGAGTGATTTCGAAGCATATAGATTAAGTAATTTCGTTGTAATTTCAACTATAGTGGTTTTAGAGGTGTTTTCGCAAATAATTATGATCGAGTCAAAATTATACTATCGTGTTTTTGAGCAATCAAATTCAAGATAAAGACATGAATTTACCTATATCAAAATTTCACTTCCCTTAGTGGTGTCATAGTCCTATCAATTATTTTATTATTATAATAGTACATGATATTCCCTTTAAAATGACACCAATATGAATAATATCTTATATCTATATCTACAAATAAATAAAATTGAAGTGTCTGTTTGCAATGTTAAAATAACAGCTTTTTATTAAATGCATATGTATGTGTGCTAGTAACAAAAGCACAATTTTTAAAATTTTTATCTGTCTGTCGGTCTCTCTGTCTGTCTGTTTGTTCCAGCTAATCTCCGAAACAGCTGCATCTATTTTGACGGGACTTTCACTGGCAGATAGCTGGGAATAACTTGAACTACTTTTGTTTTAGAAAAAGAATTAGGGTTCCGTGAAAAAAAAATTAAAACCCATGAAATCCATATTCCACGCGGGCGAGATCGCGGGGAATAACTAGTACTCAATATAGATAAATGTATACTTATTTTTATTTATTTATTATTTTAATAAATAAATAAAAATAAGTATTAATAATTTCTAGACACATCTCAACAGATATTTCGTTAATAAATTGCTATCAATACTGAAGCATTCTTTTATATTTAGCATCCATTTAACACAAAAAAAAACTGATAAGAATACTTTTTTAAACAACATATAATCAATAAACGATAATCGCGTATAGTGAATTTCGAGGTAAACCAGCATGCGACGACGCGGCCCGCGCCTTGCCGCCACTTGCGTTTGCCGCGCTTTGTCTCGTCACAGAGTGGCGAAATCACAGTAATATAGGTATTTTATAAACAGCACCTGTCTAATATTATGAAATATGTAGATAAAACTTAAAACTTACCTTGATAAATGCACATCATATACCCTTTTGTTTGTAATATTTTTTTAGACCTCTTTCAATAGTTTCTGCTTATTCCCCATGTTTTACAAACTAAACTTAAACATTAATAAAACTGTACAATTAATATAACTATAAAACACTACTATTAAACAAGAATCAGAAAAAACCTACTCCACTATTAACAAAATTAAATTTTTGCAGTAATATTTTACGATTTTATTTCGTAGTGCTGAGCTCTCGCAACGCGGCGTACGTCCACCTAGCAACACGATGCGCCCCGCACTGAATTCGTGGACGAATGCGGGGGTGATATAGACGCAGTATTTAATCGGGACGCATTTTTAATTTATTATCATAAAAATAATACATATTTCTAAAAAGTAACCAAACCAAATTATTTTATTTTGTATTGCAAAGCAGTAGATATTTTTTTTATATTCCTTTGATAAACAATGAAGGAGTAAAGTGGTTTCATCTCAACGATTTGGAGGTGATTTGGGTACTTTTTTATTTATTATGTGACACTGATAGAAAAATTATGGCTAAACCAAATTACGTATCAGATCATGTAGATTACTAGCAATTTTATTCATATGTAATTTATCTGTAAGTGTCGACGAAAAGTTGGTTCATCTGCACGCTTTTTTCAAGCTTTTTGCGAGAGAGCAGCCTTAATAATAAATGCACTTTGTTCATTCATATTCAAAATTTCAAAACACTTTATACACAAACACCGTGTCGAAGACTGAGGAAAAGAAACGACGTTAGACCATCGTTAGACAATGCACGGCCTTCAAGCCACACCTCCGTGCCCGTCGGAGAGCGTGAGGTTTTTTTCGTTACGAAATTTCTGGATTTTCCCGCACTCAAGGCTCGCGATAGAAGCTATGCAATAGCTTAATAGAAAAAATTCAAAAAAAAACATTACGCATTCCGTGTTAATGGTAAATTTGTACCTGTACATCCCTTATGACAAAGTTAAAGTCCATTGGTAAAGTTGACAGATTTGAGTGTAGTTTAACCCTTCAATCCCCACAAAATTCCCGTGCAGTCGCATGCGCCTGGCAAATCTCGAGCGGTAGTACACCCACAGCACTTAAAACCATTAAAAATTATATTTAGAGACTACTTTTCTATGAAGAAGTTTAGCATTATAAAATCTATACAAAATTTTCTATCCTGTGGTCTAAACATAAGTCAGGTTTTTCTTCATTACAAAAAGATTTTATTATATTTTGATAACAAAAAAACATACCAAGCGGATGCCGGCAGCGTAAAAATCACAATAATTTCTGTATATTTCTCGTAATTATTTACGTAAAAAGATAAATTATATTCACACAAAAACTTTTATAACAATTTTATAATAAAACACTATAGTAAAACACTAATAAAACACTAGAAAAATCCAAAAATCAACACAACAACATCCAAACGAAAATGGCGTACGTAATGAACGTAGAATATAAATTAATATCCATAGACTAACTGTTTTTTTATTTCACTAGAGGATAAAAAATTTCATACTGATTCTATAATGCTAAACTTGTTCATATAAAAGTAGTCTCTAAACATAAGTATTTATGGGTTAAAGTGCTGTGGGTGGGTGCGGTCAAATTTAACCTCTTGAATTTAGACGGAATACCGAAGCGGTCAAACTTGGACGCTTGGCGTTTAAGAGGTTAAGATAGAACGAGTGATTTGTTTGCTTACCTCTGCGGGATGTAGAACATGACGGGGCGCGCGGCGCAGTGCGGCGGCGCGGCGGGCTCGCCGGCGCAGTGCGGGCAGGCGCACGGCCGCGGCACCGCCAGCTCGCCGCCGAACACCGGCCACAGCCCCGAGATTATGCGGAACAGGCTGCAACCAACATCTTTATTACTTACCTAACGTTTTCTCAAGTACAAAACTTCTTTAGAATCTTTGTGATTTGAAACGCGATGAAATGAAAAATCGACACTATAAAGTGACAAACATGTACATAAGATTTAGCTTGCAAGAGAATGAAATACAATATAGTATACAGTATTTATTATAAATGTATTTATATTTTAATTGCATAATCCAAGTATCCTACTCCTAATACTCTGCATTATGAATTCTTCGTTAATAATTTCAAGTCGTTATCTGAAGACGTTGCTGCCTTCTTACGATCTTATTTAAACGAATCCTTCAATGTATTCCTATTCGTGTCCCCGTTGCAAAGTACGGAAGCTGAAGACAAGTATTGTCCCGTAGAGGGAATATGTAAAGAAACTGGAGTATGGAAATTTTAGGGAGTCGAGAAAGAGTTAGGAGGAGCATGCGTGTCCTACGCATGCTCCTTCTAAGATTTGAAAGAGGTGGTAAGTTTTATTAATTTTTAAATGTCTATTAACGACCTTGTAGTTTAGTGATTAACAATTGTAATAACTGGCTTCTACGTCACGTTATTGATACGTTGATTGATATTATTGAAATTTGATTTTAACACTTGACTAAACGATTCATGGTGCGAAAAGAATTATTTTAAGAGGTTTGTTTTTGACGCAGTGACAAGATCTGACCTTCCCTAATCTAAAGGTATAAATTTTACATTAAGCATAGGATGTTAGAGTCTAACACAGATTTGAGAAAAATCATATAAAAAGCAAAACTAATATTTGCTAAATACAGGTATCATTGTAACTAGATTAGTAATACCAATTTTACGAGATAATACGGCCATACGACCAGTGCGTTTTTAAAAACTGAAAATAAACAAGAAACATATGAAGTATAAACCTATGAAAATACAACAAGACCCAAAAGTGTCCTTGTGGTACTCTACAATTGTTGTTTTCTTCTAAGAAATCCATTATAATAAAACATATCGTACAAGAAAAATAATAAAAAATTGTTTATTAGCAAGAAAATACACTATCATTACTATTCAGGTAAAGTTGATGAAATCAAAGCTTACGACTACTCTTCATCTAAGTTTAAACAAATTCTGTTTTAATATTTTAATTATCATATAAAATTATAAAAAAATTAAAATATAGATATAATAGTTTACATTTCTTACTATCATCTATTAACTCGTAAAGATGTTACCTCACACTGGAATTTTCTGCTGTATCGTTGGGGCATTTTACATAAATTGCACATGGAGATACATTCAGAACCAGAACAATTATTTGTTGTCCATACAATAATTACTTTAATTTATTTCATTATCTGTAGTACCCATCTGAGGTAGATTATGAAGATCATTTAAAATAATTATTTTCAGGGCAAAGTCATTGACGAAAAACTAGTTAACTAGCTAACTTCCTACCGGAACCCGTACATTATTTTGCTTAGAATGGACATAGTCCACGAAAGTAATCCTCCGTCAAGTTGCCCTTATTACGTTTACATTAACATTTACACTACCTTATTACTTTTATCATTTTAACCCTTCAAGTGCTATAAAAATCCCATGCAGTCGCATGCGCCTGCCAAATCCCGAGCGGTCGCATGCGACCGCACCCACCCACAGCACTTAATACCATTAAAACTTATATTTAAAGACTATTTTACTACTAAGAAGTTTAGCATTATAAAATCTATACAAAATTTTCTATCTTGTGGTCTAAACAAAAGTCAGGTTTTTTTCATTACAAAAGGATTTTATTGTATTTTGATAACAAAAAAAACATACCAAGCGAATGTCGGCAGCGTGAAAATCACAATTATTTATATATAATACTCGAAATTATTTACATAAAAAGATAAATTATATTCACACAAAAACTTTCATAACAATTTTATAATTAAACACTATACTCAAACACTAATAAAAAACTAAAAAAATCAAAAAAAATCAACACAATAACATTCACGCTAAAATGGCGTACGAAATCTACGTAGATTATAATACTCATATCATATAGTAACATAGAATATCTCATCATCATATAATATAATCAATATTCATAGAGTAGCAGTTTTTTATTGCACTACAGGATAGAGTATTTCATATTGATTATACTCGTATAATGCCAAACTTCTTCATAGAAAAGTAGTCTCTATATATAAGTTTTTATGGGTTAAAGTACTGTGGGTGGTTGCGACCTCATGAGACCGCTAGGGATTTGATGGAATATAGCCGCGGTCTCATGAGACGGCCAAGGGGTTGAGTGGTTAATCAATTAATTTGTTAGATTTACACACGACAAATGAAACAGGGCTTACCTAGACTTTCCACAACCGTTGGGCCCCACTATCAGCAAGTGCGTGCCGGGCGCGAGGTCGAGCGTGACGCCGCTCGCCACCACGTCGCACGTCGGCGTCACTATCGGCACGTTACGCAGCCGGATCGACAGGTCGTTGGTGTATGTTATTTTGCCTGAAACAATTGAAGTTTATTTAACGCGTGCGATTTCGTATTCCTTCACTAACAATGGCAAAGATTTAAAAAAAATAAACATTTACATAACCGGTTTTAAATTTTAATGCGCATATTACTGTAGATAACATTAGACTCTTCTCCCATCTAGCAGTCCTAAGGAGGCACCAACCTCTTACCAATTTTCGTCGATAAATAGCAATGCTTGCACTACTGCCCTCCGGTCCGAAGGGTGTAGCGAGCCAGTATTGTTACCGGTCGTAGTTCATTCTTAGTTTAAATTGTACCAGTGCACACCATGCACTCATCCTGGAGCACGGGCTGGCGCTCGCGGAACGTGACCTGGAAGCCGGGGTGCGGGGAGGCGGAGTGCACTTACCCTGAGGCACGGGCTGGCGCTCGCGGAACGTGACCTGGAAGCCGGGGTGCAGGAGAGGCGGAGTGCACTTACCTTGAGGCACGGGCTGGCGCTCGCGGAACGTGACCTGGAAGCCAGGGTGCGGGGGAGGCGGAGTGCACTTAACCCTGAGGCACGGGCTGGCGCTCGCGGAACGTGACCCGGAAGCCGGGGTGCAGGGGAGGCGGAGTGCACTTACCCTGAGGCACGGGCTGGCGCTCGCGGAACGTGACCTGGAAGCCGGGGTGCGGCGAGGCGGAGTGCACTAACGCTGAGGCACGGGCTGGCGCTCGCGGAACGTGACCTGGAAGCCGGGGTGCGGGGAGGCGGAGTGCACTAACCCTGAGGCACGGGCTGGCGCTCGCGGAACGTGAGCTGGAAGCCGGGGTGCGGGGAGGCGGAGTGTACTTACCCTGAGGCACGGGCTGGCGCTCGCGGAACCTGACCTGGAAGCTGGGGTGCCGGGAGGCGGAGTGCACTTACCCCGAGGCACGAGCTGGCGCTCGCGGATCGTGACCTGGAAGCCGGGGTGCGGGGAGGCGGAGTGCACTAACCCTGAGGCACGGTCTGGCGCTCGCGGAACGTGACCCGGAAGCCGGGGTGCGGGGAAGGCGGAGTGCACTAACCCTGAGGCACGGGCTGGCGCTCGCGGAACGTGACCTGGAAGCCGGGGTGCGGGGAGGCGGAGTGCACTTACGCTGAGGCACGGGCTGGCGCTCGCGGAACGTGACCTGGAAAGCGGGGTGCGGGGAGGCGGAGCGCACTACGCGCGAGGCACGGGCTGGCGCTCGGGAACGTGACCTGGAAAGCGGGGTGCGGGGAGGCGGAATGCACTTACTCTGAGGCACGGGCTGGCGCTCGTGGAACGTGACCTGGAAGCTGGGGTGCCGGGAGGCGGAGTGCACTTACCCTGAGGCACGGGCTGGCGCTCGTGGAACGTGACCTGGAAGCTGGGGTGCCGGGAGGCGGAGTGCACTTACCCCGAGGCACGAGCTGGCGCTCGCGGAACGTGACCTGGAAGCCGGGGTGCGGGGAGGCGGAGTGCACTAACCCTGAGGCACGGTCTGGCGCTCGCGGAACGTGACCCGGAAGCCGGGGTGCGGGGGAGGCGGAGTGCACTAACCCTGAGGCACGGGCTGGCGCTCGCGGAACGTGACCTGGAAGCCGGGGTGCGGGGAGGCGGAGTGCACTTACGCTGAGGCACGGGCTGGCGCTCGCGGAACGTGACCTGGAAGCCGGGGTGCGGGGAGGCGGAGTGCACTTACCCTGAGGCACGGGCTGGCGCTCGCGGAACGTGACCTGGAAGGTGGGGTGCGGGGAGGCGGAGTGCACTTACTCTGAGGCACGGGCTGGCGCTCGCGGAACGTGACCTGGAAGCCGGGGTGCGGGTAGGCGGAGTGCACTTACCCTGAGGCACGGGTTGGCGCTCGCGGAACGTGACCTGGAAGCCGGGGTGCGGGGAGGCGGAGTGCACTTACCCTGAGGCACGAGCTGGCGCTCGTGGAACGTGACCTGGAAGCCGGGGTGCGGGGAGGCGGAGTGCACTTACTCTGAGGCACGAGCTGGCGCTCGCGGAACGTGACCTGGAAGCCGGGGTGCGGGGAGGCGGAGTGCACTTACCCTGAGGCACGGGCTGGCGCTCGCGGAACGTGACCTATAAGCTGGGGTGCGGGGAGACGGAGTGCACTTACCCTGAGGCACGGGCTGGCGCTCGCGGAACGTGACCTGGAAGCCGGGGTGCGGGGAGGCGGAGTGCACTTACTCTGAGGCACGAGCTGGCGCTCGCGGAACGTGACCTGGAAGCCGGGGTGCGGGGAGGCGGAGAGCACTTACCCTGAGGCACGGGTTGGCGCTCGCGGAACGTGACCTGGAAGCTGGGGTGCGGGGAGGCGGAGTGCACTTACCCTGAGGCACGGGCTGGCGCTCGCGGAACGTGACCTGGAAGCCGGGGTGCGGGGAGGCAGTGTGTACGGCACGCACGCAGCGGCCACGCGCCACCTCACCAAACACCAGCAGCATGTCCGACACGCGCGTCGCGTACCCCGCCAGCGTCACCACCTCCTGCCATACACACAGGCCGACACGTTACAAGGAGTGTCACTCTCTCGCAGAATAGCATCGAGAAATACTACATGACAATATATATAGGTTTATTTTGCAATATACGCCCAAATTTGCAGCAAAGGTTTAGAATAAATAATATAGGCGAATAAAAAAAAATTACAAAAAAATCTTTTAACATTGTGTCCACTTATCTTGTAAATGCATAATGCGTGATAATGCATAATTTTAACTGCTTGTCATTTAAAATAACTAACGCCTACTATTTTACTACGCAGTACACATTCTTAAAGGTCACTCGGTTACAAATTTAGATACTTTGTCTCGAGTCTTCCCGCGCCCTTCCCTTCCGTTAACTTCTTCATTAAGTTCCTACGTCTGCCCTGCCGGCCGACAGTTGAAAATGTTGATCGTGACATCATTTCTTACGCTTGTACTATTTTTATATTTTCGTAGGAAGTGTCGCTTCTTTACCAACGACGGAATGAAAATATTCGAACCGCTAATCCTTTAGAACTATGAAATAGAACATTGTTACATTTTAAGCAATGAAGTAAAATTTAATTAAAAGTAAATTGTTCTTCAATTGGTAGGTTGGTATGGTAACCCACCAATTGAAGAACAATTTGCATCTAATCAAACTATTCAAGTGCTGTGAGTGATGATTTAAATAGTGAATATAGGTTGATTGCGCATGAAGGCCCTATACTATGGCCTGCAAACTCACTGTAAATTTAACTGTACGAATTTTATCTGTAAGGTGAAATAAGTAGACGTATTTACGTCAGAGAGGCCCAAAGTTATGAAGATCGTCACAGTAAAATTATTGCTGCGTTTTAGAAAGTAAAAAGTGTTCAAGCACAAAGTAATATTAATGTAAAAAAAAATTAAGAAAACGTGCTCGTCTATGCATAAAGAGAAACCGGGTATTCCATCCTGAGGTACCAATATAAGTTATGTGGACTACTTGCATAATTTAGTTGTAAATAGGTTATTCCAACGTTTTAAATACGCCATATTAATGACAGTCGTCGGTCAAGTCGTTGATAAGCAAAAATATTTTATTTTATTTTATTTATTAAGACAATCCTGAACTCGTTAAAAATGAGTAGAGAAAATTGGAATCATAATTCGCGTCGTGTAGTTATTACCCTAAATATTAGTAGTAAGCGTGTGACGAAGTAAACAGTAGACAAAAATTTGAGCTAAAAGAAAACGTGAATTAAATAGCACACACAGGAACGCACGTACGCGTAGTTATAGCCCATAAATCACATTCAACTTGGGGTAGTTTCAAATAAAAGTAGAAGCCTTATTTATTCGTACTTTCAAAAACTGTAAAATGGTATATCACTATTTACATAATTATTTAAATTTAAATATAATATTTGGCTACTCTTTGTAAAATAACCATGTATAGTCAGCTCACTGTTACGACCTTTTACTTCAGAGTGGGGGAAAGTTGGCGGAGAAGGGACAACGCGCAGATTGACTTAAACCGACGAGGCGCTTTCTCTCATTTCTAACACTAAAAGTGTCTCATTGACACAACGTTACAACTGCGGCAGTGTGCCCCGATACAGCCCCACCCGGTTTTTTTAGACCGTAATGGATGGCTATAAAAATAATCGTGTTTATTTTGTAATAATTGATCTTTTGGCGATATCAATCAGAAAAACGTCACCATTTACCTTCAGAAACAAAGTCTAGTGCTGAACGTAATTTTAGCCCATAATTTGCCTTCTTTGCCGTGATTGCCAAGACTGGCAGGGCGTTGACAGCTTTATTTAATTCTTTCGAGTTGTTATTAGTTGCTGCTACCCAAATCCTGCTTCAGTTTTCTTAAGATACCCACCGAATGATGGGTGGTAGTGAAGTCTCTTATCACATCCAACATTTAACATTAAAGATTTAAGAACTTACCTTATAGCTAGACATAAGTCTCTCGATCGCATCTGCAGCGGAGTTGAGAAGATTCCGCGAAGTCGTCATGTATTCCGTTCGCGCGCTTATTCCCTCGTTACTGCCATCTGAAGAAATCATAATGTAATTTTAAAAAAAAAAGTTGCCTGTCATGGAACGCTCGGCTGATGTGAAACATAATAGTTGATGGTAGAATTTATAACTAATGAATATGATATGTATATGAATAACTATTTACGTGGTAGAGCCACGCTGCAGTTATATTATAGTTCGGCCGTTCAGAGAATGCGGTCCTGACACCTATCAGTTAGTCACGACTGGTGATGGGCACAACATGACACTGAGTTCGTTACCGTTCCTCCAAAATGAACCGCCGCACGTTCCTGGAACCACTCTTTAAATGTAGTGGCATTCATTTCCTCGTGGTAGTCATTTGTGGTTTTTGATTGAAATGCCAGTAACGCTTTCTCCACAAAGCCGCATTTTGCAGAACCTGCGTGGCATATTATCAGACGGGCCTCCTTACCCATTGGTACTTTCGACGTCGACGCTTGTGTATCATCCGCCCAAGAACGGGAAACCGTGTGATTGGCGTTTAGCCATGTCTCGTCAATGAACACGACATTATCCCAGTTATCAATATTTTTTGCTTCTCTCAAAAAACTTATCCGTTTTAAAATTATGTCGTATCGTTCTAATAAAATTTTTCTTTTGTCTGTTTTTTTATACGAAAAACCTATCTCGTTTAAGATTTTGGTTAAAGCAGTTTTACCCCCGCTAAAGTGTCCAGCTTCTCTTAAAGATGCCAAAAGCTTCTTCCTGTTGAGATATTCATTTCTGGAATAGTAACCAATAACCATATATATGATTTCTGATTGCATCGGCGTCAAAAGTGTCAATATCTGTCACGGGTTTAGTTCTACGTTTCTTCTTCGGAGTACGTAAAATATTATCTTCCGTGCCAGTAGAGCCGAACTTGGTGGCGTACACGTCTACGTCGTATCTAGCGCACCTTTTAGAATTTAATGTTCGAAAGTTTATGCGGATATAGTAAAAGATGGCACTAGTGTCTTTGCAAATTATTGAACCCAACCTAAAGTATGGAAGTGTACCCCCCCTGGCACGAAACGACAACAGACGACTGTTTTATCGTCACAAAATGGCGGCCCATAACGCCATTTGGGGTTACCATTTTCAACCTAAATATAAAAATGCTACTTTCTTTCGCGCGTTCGGTTTGGTCGTAGTTTTATTTTTATATTTAATAAAAGTTATCTTATAGTCCATTATTTTAAAATCCTTAAAAATAAAAATAAAACGTATTATTTTATAAAGTATAACTGTATAAGAACAGATTACGATACTGTTATTGCCTGTTATTGTTAGCACAGCACTTCAAATATAAAGCGCTGACATAACCTTGTAATAGCGCAGTATAGATTTAGAAAAATATTGTTTAACAAGTTATTTGACGCTCAGTTTGGCACAAAATTATAACATTCATTGATTATTGATATAATAATGTTGTTTAAATGCTCATCAATTGTTAAAACGGTAAACAACCAGCAAAAATATTTTTATTGTAACTGCAACGCCATTACAAAGTTACGTCGTCAGTTCAATCGCGACGTGTCATAAACGCATTCTCTGAACGGCCGAACTATAGTAGTATAGTTGTAGCACGAATGGGTCGGCTCAACCGGGGAAGGACAACGCTCTCACAGAATACCAGCGTCAAATAGTAGCTTAATGCTGCTGTGTTTCGTATGGTAAGTGTAGAGAACCGGAGACCCTTTCTACTGGAAACGAGGCATTCCACGGGGACGGGTGACAACGCATCTGCATTTTGATTCGTAATCGAGGATAGATGCAGATGTCTATGGGCCACAGCAACCACTTACCATTAGGTGGACTGTGTGCTCGTTTGTCACCTAATCCTATAAAAAAATGAACCAATAAAGAAGTATAGAGTAAAATTTATACATTAATATTTAAAGGAATTACAAAGTGTCTTGTGTGACATATTAAACAATTGCAAGCTGTTATTTTTTACGAAAAATGTCCCGCTGGGTTTCTTGCTGGCCCTTTCCAGGACAAAGGTATTTTCATACCAGTGTTAAATTGATAAGAGTGATTTCAATAAGTATTATTTATGATCTATATTAAATAAAAAAGTTTCTACTTCCATTCATACAAGCGGTGAACGTATAAAGTATACTATGGTGAAATAGAAATCCACACGCACAACACGACTCACACAAACGCAACGAAGTGTATAGTGTACGCGCACGCAATTCAAGGGAGTTGAGAGCGGTGGCGTGGAGAGAGACGGCATTAGAGAGCATCATACTGTCTGTCGTCACGGCATACGAGTCTGTTTTACCGCCAAGGCGCGCCAATAGATGTTTCACATGAATTATTACGTATTATAGATGGTAAGATTCTTCTTCTGTCCAGGAGTCACTGTGACGCTGCGAAGAGATGTTGCATCTCTTTCTATATTCCATCGCATCTACCACGGGGAGTGCTCAAAGGAATTGTTACGATTAATTCCAGCCGCTCAATTTCACCATCGCAAAACGCAACAAAACTCGCAATACCATCCATACCATCTGGACGTGAAATGCCTCGTTTCCAGTAAAAAGTTTCCGGTTCTCTACACTCATCATTCGAAACATAGCAGCACTAAGCTGCTATTCACGCTGGTATTCTGTGAGGGCATAGCTTACCTGGTCGAGCCGACCATAACTTCGTGCTACAACCATAACTTAGCTACAGCATGGATCTACCACATAAGATCTTTTTTGAACACCCATAGTCGCCTTTTACGAAACCCATGGAACATGGAACACAAAATGGAACGATGGATCTCTACGTTACCACCACACGACAAACAAAACGGATAATACAAAGCAATAAATCTCACCATCGGTCTTCTTTGCAGTGAGAATGGGTAACGCCAGCATCACCATCCCCGTGCCGGACCACACGTACTTCATGCAGAACTGCTCCAGCATCACATACCACAGCTTCTTGTTGAACACCGTCGTCATCTGCGCCACCAGTTGCTTATACGCTGATTGAAGCTGGCCCAGTTCCACCTAGACAATACGAAACGTTAAAGAGGACCAAGTGGTAATTAAAATATTAAATTAATATTTAGTTTCCATCTCAATCTTCATTGGTGACAACAATTTTGATCCCTGACTGAAGATTTTAGAGGTCTATGGGAAATAGCATACATTTACAATCAAGAGGAATGTGTGTTCGTTAGTAACTCATATTCCATTAAAAAATATATTCTTCTAATTCATTTTTTTTTCATTATTCAGATTTCGTTACTTTGATCAACGTTCTACACCCGTTAACATGTAATACAAACAGCTTTCACAGCTCACATTGCCTCACACATCATTAGCTAATTTATGTTGCATTTGAAACCTAATTACGAATATGGCGCACCGTCTTCGTTAAAACGCAAGTGGTGGGATAATCACAAAGGCGGAAAAGTGTGCAACATTTAACCTAAATCACAATATTCGATAATTTTATTTAATTATTTGAGGTTTTTACGTTTATATGAAAATATGAACTAAAAGTTTTCTGTGGAAAGTGATTCCGCTTGATTTATTATGTTTTTGTGACCTTGAATCGCATTCTTTCACTACGCATTTACCCATTTTTTTGTCGCGAATCGTTCGGCTCAACTCTGTCGGCGTCACATTGAAGACTGAACTGACGTTAGCTAGGCATATGGCTGTGGTCATATGTGCAGTGGCAACGCTTTGGCGCGGTAATTACTAATCTAGTGTAATATATTAATCAATTGTTAAATAATTGGCTATTCCAGTCCCCAGATGGACATGAGTCCTTCCAAGAGTTAGCCAATTGGCATGTATTTAAAAGTTGACTATAGTCACGTTTATCCACATGTATATTTACTATATTATATTAATATATAAACTGATTTTCCAGAATACAGTAGTGTACGTAATGATATTTGGTGACAGAAAAAGGTTCCCGTATCATTACTGAAACGTTCTAAAATGTTCTGCTCGCATCACTATTTTTAGAAAGTCAACTTCGCTAAGCCTGCAGTAGTCACGTAATGAAGTTTAGTTACGCACTGACTGTACACCGCGCCTGAGTTCCGACATCCCTGGCCTATCTACAAACATGCACCCCTGCTCCTGGTCTGTACTGCCTGTGCCCAGCCCACGTATTTATTTACTAGATTTTTATATTTTATTAGCATTCCACCCCGCGGTTTCGGCCACATTAAATTATTTGTTCTTTCAAGTGACAAAAGTTTGTTCCGGTACTCGACGATGTGCTTCCGAGAAATATTGGCGCGGCCGGTGTAAAAGTAGCACCAGTGCTGTTGTCCGCACAGCAACGAATGTAACTAGTTAGTAACAAATCATTGATATGCAGAAGAAATAGTGTAGGTGAATACACTCAAGCTCGAGATTTTCTGGGCGGTTCTCACCGCCTAGACCATCGACCGACACGAGCTGAGCAGTCAGAGACGGGGGTCCGCATTCCCCCCCCTCGGACTGCGGTTAGATAGCTCAAGAAACGCCTAAAAAGGCGACATGATGATTGATAACAATACCAAATCATAAACCACTCATCATCATCCTCACCTCATTGCTTTTCCCTTTTTTAATTAGCTCGCCCTGAGTCAGATGAAACTGTAACAGTCGTATAGACTAACAGCGCTAACATCCAGAAAATAGTAGTCAAGCTGGTGGAACACCAGCATTAATAAGCTTGTAGACGGAACATGCACTGTCTACTACGACCTTGATGTTCCGATCTGCAAGAAAACTGGTGATTTCTTGGGAAGCCCATAGGAAGGAGACTTCAATCAAAACTTTTAATTAAACTAAACTTTCAATTAAAGTTAATAAACTAAACTTTTAATTAAAGTAAAAATAAATCTCAAAGAAGTAAAAAGACTAAAAAATTTTTCTCATAATAGCTTTTGAAGTTGGGACATTAAGTCTTTTTACACTTGCTTTAACACCTACTCTGAAGTCGGCCCATCTTTTCTTTGTTCTTATTACAATTCATTTTGAGTCAGCTAGTATGTTTTCCTTCTCTATTCTCCTCCATTAGCAGTTATCTCATGAATTATTCCTTTCTTACGCATATCGTCTTACACACAGTTCATTCATCTTTTTTTCCCTTACCGAGTAGTGGCGCTGTAAGAATATCCACTACCGCATATCATCCCGTGGGTATCGTAAAAGGTGAAAGATGGAAAGAAATCAGGAGATGGATAGTAGCATCTTTCTAATAACGACTAAAAAAAAAATAAACTGCAAATATTCATGAGACAGTCTATGGGAAGGTCCATGTTTAGCAGTGGACTCTAACAGGCTGTAACAGTTACGATGAATAAGACGGTGTTACCTGGTGTCCGCCGTAGAAGGCGACCTCCTCGGCGTGGGTGATGAGGCGGCTGTGCGCATGGCGCAGGTTGGCGCGCATGCGCGCCTCCTCGCCCGCCAGCGCGCCGAAGCGCGGGCTCAGCAGCCGCAGCAGCTGCCCCGTCAGGCACACCACCACCGTGGCGATGCCCGGCCCTGGCACACACGCAAGACTATGAAAATCCTACAGGATCTCGACGAAACAGATACCGCAGAGACTTAAAGATGACAAGGCGACGGAACAATCACGCTCGCGCAAATATATTAAATTTCGGGGATAAACCAATTTGAATCGCACGTGCGTCGGCTGGGCGGCAAAATATACAGGGTTATTTGGCAATATACGCCCATTTAAATTCAAAATGCGTGGTAATGCATTATTTTAACTGATTGTTGTTCATAAATATCTAACGCCTACCATTATACTACGCACGTACACATTCGTAAGCGCCGCTCGGTTTTAGATTTAGGAACCTTGTACCTTCCATTAACCGTTACATTGCTAGGTACCTACGTCCACCCGGCCGGCTGACACCTAGCAGTGTTGACCGTGAACTTATTACGTTCAAGTGTACTATTTTCATTTTCTTAGTAGATAGTGTCACTTTTTTACCAACGACGGAACGAAAATACTCGAATCGCGAATACTTTGAAACTATTAAATGGTCTGGAGTTACATTTTAAGTAACGAAAACGTCTTTACCGCGGCAAGAAATTAACGTAAGTGTACCTACCAATCGAAGAGCTTGATAATTAATCAAACTATTCAAGTGCAGTGAGCGATAATATAAAAATAGGTGGATTGCGCATGAAGACTACATTATTTTTTCGGGCTGAAAATTCGACGGACCTTCCGCCACTATACTTTTATCTGTGGGGTGAAAAAAAGCGCCGTGTTTACGTCAAAGAGACCCAAAGTTATGAAGACCGCTGCAGCAAAATTATTGCTGTATTCACTTAAGTTTAAAGTATTCAAGCACAGATTATGTGTAAAAAATAATTTAAAAAACATGCTCGTCTATGCATGGAGAGAAATAGATTCGATTTTGAGGTACCAATGTTAGTTATTGGGATTACTTGCGTAATTTAGTTGTAGACAGCGTATTCCTATTGTTTAAATACACCATAATAATGACAAACTTCGATTATGTCCTTGATAAGCCAAAATATTTTTGAAGTGAAAACTTCTTTAGCGGCGTTGTACACTTTTTTGTAATGGGTAAAAAATGTTAAACTCACGTCAAGACGCGTGACCCTGATCGAAAATTCGTAAGACGGATGGAGAGAGAGAGAGAGACAGCCGGCGCGGCGTAGGAGAGGAAGTATCCCCCCTCTCTTTCTACGGCGCGGCGAAAATGTATGCCTGCGCTTGCTGTTTCGTTTAGGCGACGCAGGGCGCATGCGCGAATGTTCGTGTGTGATAATTAAAGCAATTCGTGCAAAATTATTCCCTAATCATTCCAAAATATCAAAAATGCACAACGTTAATATTCAAGTTTTCACTTCTGCCAGCACTCCCGGAGTGCAACCCGTCGTTTTTTTTATTTTATTTCATTTATTATGACGATCCTAAGCCCGTTAAGTGTGTGTGTAGTCAGGAAATTGTAATCGTTATTCGCGTCATGTAGTTATTAAGATAAGCATTAGTAGTGGGCATGTCAGTAAGAAAGTAAACAGTAGACAGAAAATTGAGAATCGCACACACAGGAGCGCTGCCCATAAATCACATTCAATTTAAAATAATTGCAAATAAAAGCAGGTATTAAGAGGATATAGTAAGTCAGCTCAAATTCTAATTTCGCCCCCACTTCCCCACGCGTCGCATGCTATGTACCGACATGTTTGTAATCACTAATACTGTAAGTAGATAGGTCGTTAGATACTTATTTCATTAGGTTTATCATATTTATGCCTGTTTCTTAACGCCAAGCTAGTCGCTTCTTATTTTTATTACGGTTATTTCCCATTTTAATTTTACGTCGTCCTGTTGCGTAATGTGTATTCTGATCGTAAGCGACACAAACTCCCCGTTCAAAGGCCGAAGCGAAACCGACCGGGCGGCAGGAATCAAGTTTCAAAAAACAGATAGTGTAAGTAATTTCTTTTTACAGTGAAAATAATGGTATTTAAAAAAAAGTAAATAACATAAGCACTGCTTTATAGTTAGTTCAGTTAGTATGTAAAGTTTCATGATCTTATTTAAAGTATTTTATGAATAACAGCGGTTTATTGTTTATTTTGGAGGTAACTTTGGATTTTTTTTCTATCGATAAAATTTTACGGAATCGTGTTTTCGTCTAACATAGTCCTTAACATTAATCCTCAACTTTACCATATATTTATTTCAAAATTAATTCTGGAATATTTTCGGCATAACGGAAGATCTTGCTAAGCCATTTGAGGTTACATTTCCCCTTAATTACTCGTATTTTCAAAAACTGCAATAACGATATGTCATAATTTATATATACGAACTTAAAAAAATAGATACTCTTTGACAAATAACCCTGTATAATTAATAACCGGTAAAGATTCAATAATTGAATAAAGTTATATTTTTCTTAACATTTAATATTCTTAACATTTATTATAATATTTAATACACCTACCCACCTATTTTTGTCGTAATTTGAAAATGTGCCCAAAATGGTACACGTAATTTTTTACATAAAAAAGGACCTTAAAACATTAATCTCTATATATATAAATCAATAGCTGTCCGTTAGTTTCGTTAAAAACTCGAAAACGGCACCAACGATTTTGACGAATTTTGTTTGGATCCCTGGTTGGTTTAGATTCACAATTGGACTCGGTAGGTGGCGCTGTTATCGAGATACTGAAATCACCCGTGCGAATCCGGGGCGGAACGCTAGAAAAAGTGGATTAAGAAAGTTTTATTAAACAGCTGAACAGGGAAGCCTATGTTAAATAAGACACTTTTCATCAACTTTAATGGTACTAATTAGTAAGTTATAAACGTTGACGATATAAACATCTTTTTTCTCAAATTTATCAGCCCGTAAACTATATAAAAACTATATATATATATATATATATATATATATATATATATATATATATATATATATATATATATATATATGTTTGACGACAAAAAATAATAGTCGTTAATAACTCTCACCTAGGAAGATGTTGCCCTTCATCTTGTTGGAGTAGCTGGCCAGGGTAAGCACGATGAGGAGCAGGTCGAAACACGGCTTTGTGAGCGAACTGTAGAGGTGGGCCACAGACTGTGTGAACACCGAAACGTCCTCTGTTAATCTGGGGGACAAAATTACATGGTTAAACTAAACTCTTTAAAGAGGTAAAGTGGTACAGCTAAGCTGCAGCTATATTATGGTTGCAGCACAAAATACCAGCGTAAAATAGCAGCTTAATGTTGCTGTATTTAGTATGGTGAGTGTAGAGTTCCGGAGACCCTTTTTTACTGGAAACGAGGCATTCCATCTTAATCATCAGGGGTGGCAACGCATCTACATTTTGATTTATAAACGATGATAGACTTTGGTGTCTACAGGCCACAGTATCCAAAAACTGCCAGATGGACTGTGTGCTCGTTTGTCACTATTATGCTATAAAAAAGCATCACGCTTTAACATATTCCAGCTACAGGACCGCGCTCTCACAGAATACCAGCGTAAAATAACGCAACATAATGCTGTTGTGTTTCGCATGACGAGTAAAGAGAACCGGAGACAGTATGCAACGCATCTGCTTTTTGATTCTTAATTAAGGATAGATTTAGGTGTCTATTGACAATATCCACTTCCCATTAAGTGGATTATAAACTCGTTTGTCACCCTTATTTTAATAGATCTGCCTTTTTAAACTGTAAAATATAAATTAATAAATACTTTTAAAGTCAAACTGACTTAAAGAAACTACAAAGAACAAAATAATTTCTCATTCTGAAGTCGTTGGTAAGACATATTGTATAGAATTATTTTTTTTATGCGAGCACACAGTCCATTTAACGTTAGGTGTAAGTAGATGCTGTGGCCCATAGACATAGACATCTGTCCTAGATTAAGAATCAAAACGCAGATTCGTTGTCACCCCTGAGGAATAAAGGTCTCCGGATCTCTACACTCACCATACGAAGCACAGCAGCTGCTATTTTACGCTGGTATTCCGTGAGAGCGTGTTCTTTCGCTGATAGAGCCGACCCATTCGTGCTGCAACCGTACTATTGCTGCAACGTGGCTCTACCACGTATACTTACGATAGAGAAGAAGTAGACGACGAGGCATCCATAGAGGTCAACTTCTGGGGTCTGCCAATGTGATACAATGGACGCCTGCTCAGCCGTCAGCTCGTATTAAGCTGCTATTTTACGCTGGTATTCTGTGAGAGCGTGGTCCTTTCCCGGTTGAGCTGACCCATTCAATGATATAGCTGCAGCGTGGCTCTACCACGTACAACCACCGAAGTACAACTCATTTAATAAAAGAAGAATGATTAAAATCGGTTCCCATTTGACGAAGATATCGCGTAAGCAGGCGTGATCGTCGTTCATTTTTAAATCAGCTTTAAAAATATTACTAACCTGTGATCGGCATTTTCTATTCTAGCATCTAGATTAGCCACTCTGTAGTAGGTTTGATTTTTGAAATACAAGTCGTATGCATGGTTCACCAATCTGGTACGGAAGGCGAGCGCCAAGCGACTTTCCAAGTAACGGATCATAGAGTTAATGAAGGTAGCTGGTATCGCGATACCGAACCATTGGACGAGCAGAGAGGTGAAGCGGCGAAGGTCCTTCTGGACTATGTGTCTTACTGTGAAAGAAAAAATAACTTCGTGAGTCAAAAATCTTCGAATACATCAATATTTCGCTTCGCATAACCACAGATGAAATAATGTTAACAAAGTTTACTAACACGTGTGTTATGGGTATGTTATTATATTTAAATGATCATTACTCTATCTGACTGACTCGTTGGTCTATTGACCGTAAACGCGATTGATGATCATGAGGTGCTAAGTTCGAATCCCGGGTCGGGTCAAAATCTTTTATAAGAATTTTTCAGTAGCAACCTGGAGTCAGGAAGTTGGCGGTGTTTCAATCTGGGAAAGCACGTAAAGCCTTTGCTCCTGCTCCCGACCTCTCCCCAGTCGTGTCGTATTGTCGTCCCATCGGACAATGAGAGTGACGGAATAGAGAGTGCACCTGTGCTTGTGCATACACTTGGGCACTATAACCCTGCCATGGGCAGATGGCTAGTCTACGTTGAGACTGGTCGCCGTGACCGAAATCGGCCTGGAGGACATTATTATTATTATTATTACTCTATAGTTATTGCCTTTAATTTTAATTCCCGACGTTTCGGGGGACTGAGGTGAATGACGTCTCGATGTCAGTGTTAATCCGGAATACCTTCAGCTTTTTTAATTATTATTTATGGTCCGATCTACGCAGAATAAACTAATTGTGAAGTGTTTAAAGAACATCGATTTGCACCAAGAATGATACGTGAGGCTATAGATATTAAAAAACATCCTAATTTTAATAGAGAAGGTGGCTGGGTACTACCACCTGCTTGGAACCCTGTAATTAATAAAATTAAAACTAAACCCAAGCATACCACTGCAATACTTCAAGACACGGTCAGTTCATTATATAGCGGACCATAAATAATAATTAAAAAAGTTGAAGGTACTCCGGGTTAACACTGACATCGGGACATTAGTCACCTCAGTTCCCCATGACCATGGGTGCTGAAAAGCACCCGAAACGTCGGGAATTAAAAATACTTAAATTAAATGCGATAAAATCCGTAAAAGTAGTTTATTTGTAGTGTTCGCGTAAATATAAGAAATGATTCTATAGTTATTATTATATTCCACCATGTATTGGTGACGTCAGAGATTACACTTCTTCATATCGTCCCGTGGTTGTCGTAAGAGGCGACAGAGGGAGACAGGCAGGAGATGGGCAGCAGCATCTTCCTGATAACAGCTCGAATTAATTCAAAACTGCCGCTACCATCCAAGTGTGGCGACTAGGGCGAATACCAAATCCATCAGCTCAACACTACACCCGGGGCATGGAGCTCGAGAAGCGGGAACATCCTGGCAAACCGATAGGTCGCTTTCCAACAAGCTACGAAATTTACACACCCTATGAGGCAACGTAAATCTCATAAGGTGCCTATGAGGCACCCTATGAGGTTCACGTGTAGAGCCACGCTGTAGCTATATTATAGTTGTAGCACGAATGTGTCGGCCAGACCGGGGCAGCACCACGCTCTCACAGAAGACCAGCGTGAAATAGTAGCTTAACGCTGCTGTGTTTTGTATGGTGAGTGTAGAGAACCGGAGACCCTTTTTACTGGAATCAAGGCATTCCGTCTTAGTCCTCAGGGGTGACAACGTATTTGTACTTTTATTCTTAATCGAGAATAAACGTGGATGTCTATGGACCACAGCATCCACTTACCATCAGGAGGACTGTGTGCTCGTTTGTCACCCAATGCTATTAAAAATGTTATGGAGAAGGGTTCCGTTCGGCAGTGTACTTCAGATTATCCGTTATCGTTACAACCAGTCATAAGTCTACTGCTGAACATAGCCCTCCTCCATAGATTGCCTCGTGGGGGGATATTTGCTATAGTAGCCACGCTTGGCAGACGGGTTGGCAATCCCTGGTATTTTTTATTTGTTATTAGGAAGCCGCTGCTAGCTCCTGATCTGTCTCCCTCTGTCGCCTCTTACGACACCCACGGAATGATATGAGGTAGTGGTTATTTTTACACCAGCACTACACGGTAATGTAAAATATAATGAATGAATTATTCAATATGATTGATCGTATTTTGTTATGTTTCGTAGGTAGTAGGTTGACCATGTGCTTGTTAATCACCTTTCCATGTGTGGCCGTAGAAGGAAAAGGGGAGATCTCCCGCCGGGCAAGGTGTTCTGCCCGGGGAGCGGCCAACGCTCCGTGTGATAGTTCGGAGCTGTTCTATATATACTGTTTATGATTCGGAACTTTGATAGCGCGATTTAGGCTTCGATGTGTTTCGCTTGTGGCGCGACGACAGCGCCGCCACACATGTAAGAAAAACTTTACATGCTATGGAAATCACTTCTAGTTCTTAAGTTAACTTACCAATAGATCCTTCCAAAGAGGCAACATATATTGAGAGGAAGGTTCGGGAGAAGAGGCAGAGCGTATGCGCTGTCAGCAACGCCACCTCTTGGCTTCGTATACTCGGCACCATAATCTTCGCTAGCGAGATCAGTTGCCGTAAAAACTCTAGATTTAAACCAGGAACGTGTTCTTCTGGAGGAGGTGTAGTTTCATCCGCTTCTTCCTGAAAATTTGACGGGATTAGGGAATTTATGAATATTGATCTGTAATTATTATCACGACTTGCTTCCTCTCATTTTTAGATTTGGATTTGGATTTTAGAGCAAGGAAATGTCCGCCGTGCTGCCAACTTCACATGTCTTCGAAATATATTTTCTTATTTCTCAGACATACAGGTTTCCTCGCGATATTTCCCTTCATCTCCGAACACGTGATAAATCAGCACTTAAAATTGCAATTAAAAATTTCATTTGTGCCGGCGGGTATCGAACCCGGATTACTCGTGTACTGTGATATTTACAGCAAGCTGTATGCCCTTGAGCTACCACGGCTTTAGGTGTGGTAGCTTTTAGGTTAGACTTGTGTAGCAGTTAATAATTATTAATAGCTATCTATGTCAGCATCTCATATTATTACTTACGTTATTGACGTAAAATCGTATATGATCTGAATAAACAATAGTACTTTCCATTTAGTTCCGCTGGCATCATAAGGGGCAACTATGGAAAAACAAAACATCTCGAGGTCTGCAATAGATGGCGGGATAAACTGCTCGCTAATATCAGAAGTTCGACGTCTCTGTGAGGCAGTGGCTTAGCAAAGCGTTGCACCGCTGATAGGCGCGCGTTCGAATCCCGCAAGGAACACGTATTTGTACGACCTACAATTAATTGTTCCGGGTCTGGATTTTTGTCGTTGTGCAATTTACGTGTGTAAACTGATACCACAATATTTCTAGTGGGGGTTACGTTTTTGAAAAACTTAAGCTTAAAAGTTAATATTCAGGCCGGTCACAGCATGCAGTGTCAGTGTCATATTAGACAATCTGCACACAAGATTGTGGCAAATCATCTCATCTCTACAAGGTAGTGAAAGTAGATAAATAAAGTGTTTTAAATGAAGCTTAATATTCCTTATATAATATATAAACATTCCTTATATATTAGGAAACCATATTATATATATAATATACCATATTATATATATAAGTATAACAATATATAATATAATTATATATTGTTATATATATATATATATATATATATATATATATATATATATATATATATATACATCACTCTACACACATGGAGGCTTACCTACACTCTACAACTAGAAGTTAATGATTTTTGATCATTTTATGTTGCGCTGCTGTCTGAAACACAGAAATTAATTTATCTAGTTCAGACACAGATGTTCACTGAATTGTATTTTTTGTTAAGCTGTGTCTTAAAATGTTTGTATCCTAGAAATTAAGATATTCTGTGTTTGTTTGAATAAATAAATTATTATTATTATTATATACAGTTATCAACATTACAAACATTGAACACATGCTTTTAACAACAGTTAAAATGTACGAGCCTTAAATTGAAATGTTGCCACATTTATAGATAATCACAGCAGACAAAGATTAAAAAAACACATATTTATTTTGATGATGGAAACGAAGAAAGAGAGAATATGTTCATTCGCTGCTGCAATTATTTTACAAGAAAAACCTTAATAACAAGTTTCATACTGGTAACAGGTTCAAAAAAGCTACTGACTCAGCATAATGCTACAGTGAGATCTACCGCAGCGCTGATGTTCTGTTAAAGTTTAGCTAAACAAGGTAAAATATACAGAATGTTTAAAATTATTTACAATATTATGTTTTGTTTATAAATTGGAATGGAATATTAAGCTACTTAAGGTGATGTCGGCGCCAAAAGCAGATTTTTCACGCTTTATAAGTGCAATTTTTTGTTCTTAAAAACTACGAATCCACATTTTTTTTAAATTCATTATGAAAATTAAAGATCTTTCTTATTGAATTATGGTGAATTTATGATGGAATTTATTATGGTGAAATAATGGGAATTATGGCCAAAACACGATTGGCACATTTTCGCTCGATGAAAAAAGATCGTAAAGTTCCCTCAAAACCTACAATTTTAGGTACGTCCACTAAGTGAAAAAGCAATTTCATTCGAATGTAATGAAATCAATTTCAATTAAATTCAGGCTATGTATTCACCATACTAAGTGAAAAGCAGTTTCATTCGATTGTAATAAAATCAATTTCAATTAAATTTAGGCTATGTGTTCACCAGTAAAGATGTGAGTGTATTATGTTTTTATTTTTCAATAAAAGAGTATATATCATTTTGAAAGGTAATATCAAATAAAAATATTGTGCGATTAAATAGCGCGCGGGCCGACCAAACAGTCCATATAAAACGTGAAAAATCTGCTTTCGGCGCACGCTTCACCATAAAAACATTTTATGTAATCTTCTTTGACTATATTGCAGAGATGATTTGCCACAAACCCCACGCTTTGTGTATATATATACATATTAAGTCTCTAAAGAACTAAGAGAAGTTGCTGCAATCGTCACGGTTTGCAGTTCGAGACAGATCGAGGATCGCAGTCTATTAATTATTATAAGCCAGTGCCTGACTACCATCCCAGTTATTTGTAAGCCAGGATGAAGCCCTACATTGTAAATTATACATATGAACAAAATCCTATTCACTCTTGCTTTGAAGACAGACAAATTATTGCACCTAACTTAAAACACCTCAAACGTAATCGCATTTAAACATTGGCTGCGTTTGGCAGAAAAAAGCACTAGCAAGCGCTTGTAAAGCAAAATGGCGATCGTAACCGGTAAGCGCAGTCAAATCGTAAGTAGCTATTTTCCTCTAGGACACGAAGTTAGTTTTCGGTTTAAAGAAATTTATTTCTCATAAGAACATACAATGGTTCACTTATAATGAGATACAAAGTAATTATTATACTAAAGTAAAACTATCGCATCTACCTCTAGTGCTGGAGGTGTTATAGTTTAAGCTTATTTACTATGAGATATAAGATTAAGATTATTTACTATGAGGTATACATATGAGATACCACATATTCGGAAAAGATTACACTGTACGTACGTATTTCCTAAGTTTACTTTTAAACAATTTCATGTTATTGAAATTTTTTATGTCATCTGGTAGTTTATTGAACAGCTGTGCTCCCTCAAACAACAGGGTTTTTTTTGCCATAATTAGTTCGTGCAGTTATTAATTGTAGTTTATTTTTACTTCTTAAGTTGTGTGTTGTTGTTTTTTTATGTAATTGTATGTTTGATTGAATAGTGGTAATATCTTTTATTAGAGTGCAAGTGCAATAAATGTATAGTTGTGTAAGGTTTAGTAAGTTAGTTTTTTCGTATAGTACTTTTGTTGGAGTTAGATAATGATAGTGGAATAATGTTTTGATAATTTTATTTTATGTCCTTTGAAGTGGATTTAGATTTGTTTTAGCGGCTGATCCCCATATCTCAATTAGGTATTCGATATGTGATTTAACTAAAGAGTTGTATATGATTGTACGAACCTTTTCCGGGATACAGTTTGCGACTTTACGTGGTGCACTTAGTAATGACGTCAGTTTTGATTTGACGTGATCGATATGCATTCTCCAAGTGAGTTTATCATCTACCAATAGACCTAGATATTTTTCCTGAGTTGAACGTTTTATTATTTTATCATCAATAGTAAGATGTGCAAACTCTGGTAAAGGTTTATTCTTTGTAGAAAAGATGTTTTTGACATATTAATTGTTAGCAAGTTATATTTTAACCATTCTTCGAGTAAGTCAAGATCTTTTTTGAGCATAGGTTATAATGTTGTGAATAGATTTATCGAAATAGAAGACATGTGTCGTCGGCATATAATGTTAGGTGCCCTGTTAGCCCTAATTTGTTTATATTATTTATATAAATTAAAACAATAATGGGCTTATAATTGAGCCTTGAGGACAGCCGTAGGATACGTTTTTAATCGAGCTGGTAAAATTATCCATTTGAACAGCTTGTCGCCTATTATGTAAATACGATGTGAACATTTCGAGGACCTTGCCTGTAACGCCTATGTTGTTTAGTTTCTGCAACAATTTATGATGGCTTACTGTGTCAAATCCTTTTTATGTCAATAAAAATCCCTAAAGCGAAATTCCTTTGATCGATTTGAGTTTTAATTTTTGTGATTAAGTCTACTGCAGCTGTCAGAGTGCTCAATTTGGAACGAAAGCCATATTGTTGGTCAATTAAAAACTTCTTTTTTATTAGGTATTAATCTAGGCGGTTATAAAGTATTCGTTCAAATATCTTTGATATAACAGGCAAGACAGAGATTGGTCTGTAGTTACTTGGGTCAGTCCTACTTCCGGATTTAAAAATAGGACTGAACTTAGCAATTTTAAGTGTGTCGGGAAAAACACCGCGTGTCAAACACATATTTATGCAGTTCGTTAGTCTCTCTACAATTACAATTTTTAGGCATTTAATCGCTTTGGTGCTGATGCCATCTAGACCAGTACTAGTGTTGGTATCAAGATCATCGATTATTTTTGATACTTCAGTAATATTACAGGGTGTAAGTTCACTAAGTGTTATTTCATGTGTATAGTTAAGTTCGTACATAAGAGTGTTACCGCTGTTTATATGATACTTATTAGGAATTTTGTTAGCCAAGTCCGAGCCTATTGAGGAGAAAAATGAGTTAAATAACTCACATATTGAATTACCTTCTGTTATTAGTCCAGTTTTCGATATTAGTTTGGGGAGGAGCACTGCTGTCTTTAATTTTGTTTAACGCTAAGTTATTAATTATATCCCACATTTTCTTAGGTTTATTGTAACTGTTATGAAATAAGTTATGATAGTAGATTTTCTTGTGTGTCTTGATAAGGTTTTTCACTTTGTTCTGCTCTTCAATTAAGTTTTTTGTAGATTATCATCTTTTGGGTGAGATTTAGTCTGCTGCCATAAGTTGTTTCGTAAATTTATTGAGTTTATAATATCTCGGTTTATCCAGTCTTTTTGTGGAGTTTTAAGAATTATTGTCCTGCTTATTTTATTTTTGTTTGTTTGTTCTAACATAAATCTCTCTAGGTAGTAATAGTCATTTTCTTCATTAGTGTATTTGGCTTTTAAAGTAGTGTTGTATAACTTTTCAAAATCAAGCGCTTTATATTGAACTCTTTTATGTGTCTTTGTTGTTAAGTTGCTTATTTCAAGAAATATCTGCTTATGATCAGATAGGTACGATTCAATTATTGAGAAACTAAATGAGTGATTGTTTATATTCGCACATACATGATCCAGTATAGCGCTTGTGGTGGTGGTTTCACGAGTACTGTACAGCCTATTAATTTTATTCAATATTTCATATCCAATTTCTTTTATTTCAGTTAGGTATTTTGTGACGTTGCTATCTGTATTAATTAGATCAATGTGAAAATCTCCAAACACAATCGCCCTTCCCCTCCGTTCCAACTGTGAGGAATATGTTTCTAAAAAGTTGTTTACATCAGAACTTCCAGGTTTGTATATTGCGCCGATGTTTAAAGATAGTTTATCTATGTATATCCATAAGTAGTGGTTTCCATTCTCACATAATTCTTCCGTTATATCGTATTTTATGCTACTTTATGTACGTAAATTGAAACGCCACCACCTTTGTAATTTTGTCTATAATTGTAAATATGTTTATAGTTTGGTATCTGATATAATTTTGCGTCGGTATCCGAATTAATCCATGTCTCCGTAAAAATTAATAAATGCCAAGTCATCGGTATTGCTTTTAATATGCATTTTATTTCGTCGAGTTTCCCAGCTTTGTGAATACTACTTAAATTAGCATAAAAAAAATCTTAACGAAGACGGGTGTAATGGAATGTTTTCGTAATTGTTTACTAATTGGTGGCTTAATCTATCCGTATTTTTTCCGGTTTGTGTTGAAGCAATTATTGGTTTTTTTGATGGGTTTTGTTTATAACAATTGAAGCCTTGTGCCTTTTATATATTTAATAATAAGATCCTTTTCGCCTTTTTCTGTTCGTTTCTTTAATTCTTCCTTCAATTGCTTTAAATACTGTTTTTGAACTGGCGTTTGATCTGAGTAAATACTAAGATTTTCGGCTAGGTACTTTTTATTCCGTAAGAGATATTTTGGAGTATCTATATTGTTAAAGAAAACTTTTATAGGCCGGCATTTGTTTGAAACATATTTCCCTAGTCTTATACATTTAATTGGTTTAGGGCAGTTTTCGTGTAATGATATCAACAACTTCATCACTTCTTCATTATCGTAATTTCGTCTCACTTTTGTATTTTTTTCATTTATTTCGGGTATACACCCACAAAAATGATGTTTTTCTCACGGTCGTATCTGTCTTTGAGTTCAAGAATGAGGCTTTCATGGCACAAGACGGGCGATTTATCCGTTGAACTTTCAATGTGTTGTTTATCTTTTATCAGGGATATTTCACTTTCTATGTTTTTTATTTGATTTTGAGTAGCAGTATGATTATATTTAATATTTTCTATTTCAGAGTTTATTTGTTCAAATCGTTGTGTAAAGTTTTTTGTTGTTGATTTTATTGTTTTTATTTCATTTTTAATCGCCGATATTTCTCCACGTATGTATTTCAGATTCTCATTTTGTGTTTTTCCGAATTCTTCTAAGAATTTCATCATGTCTGTACGAAAGCTTGCAAAATCTTTTTTATAATCTATTTCATCAGTGCGTTCCTTTCTTTTTCTCAGAGACACATAGGAATGAAAATCCTTGTCACCATGAGTGGGTAAATTAGGCACCGACCCGCTGGCGCTTCCGCTCCCGCTTATCAATATTCCACTAGGCGGTGTTCTCTGTAGATTCATTGCGTCGCGTCGTATGCAAAGTCTTCGTACGAGTGCGAATGCAATGGAAAAGTTTTCGTTACTCACGGTAATGAGCGGGACCGTGTATGTGCCACTGTGTACTTTTGCACCGGAATACAAGGTCTTTAGTTTATTATGCACTTTGTAAGTAATCAGACTTTAGAAATATGGGCGTAAGGGTCACTTTTAACTGTCAAACTAACGTTAAAATTTTAATATTTTATGATATTTCACAAACACGTCTGCTTTCCAAAAGCACTAGAGGCATATATGATTTGTTTTAACCGGGGAACCTAACCTAATTTAAATATATGTTTGTAAAGTATTCGTATTAAAAACTTACCAATCATGAATAACATGTATAATATGTTTATTCATGTCATTATATTATTTAAAACTAAATTATTTAAATATTGCACAAAAAAACTTATAAACTCTACTTCAAAACAAACAAATTAAATAAGCAAAATGGCGGATTGTGTCAGCGCTACTGAAGTTAGCAAACGTGTCCTGGCCGAAAACTGTTTAGTTTCACCATTTTGCCTACAAGCGCTTGCTAGCGCTTTTTTCTGCCAAACGCACCCAATGTATCATCATTAATGGTGGTTAATATAGCGCATAGCGCCATATTATAGCGCGCTATCTCTCAGCGCGTGTTATGTAAGTAGTCGCCATGGCGCTTTGGCGCTATTAAGTAATAATATCTAGCGGCAACTAGTTCCAGCAACAGCGCTGTTAGGAGAGGACGTGTGACGCAAATTTAATGTAGCAGCACGCTATTCATTGCGCGCGACCTAATTTAGTGTAAGACGTTGTTTAGTTAGTGTATACTGTATATTTATAAGTGATGGAAGGACACAGTTGTCTGCTATAAAAGATGCCTAACTAATGTTTTTAAATGTAAATATAATATAAATACAAAAGTGTATACAATAGTGTATGTAAATAGTTGATTTTTATAAATACAATCAATAAACTTTTAAATACACCTTTATTTGATTTATAATTTATATTACGGTTAAAATAACGAAATATTACGTTTTAAAAAGTACATGCCTTAAAAATATTTTTAGGATTATAGAAAGTCGTAAGCCTGAAAAGTATGAAAAAGCGTTCATTGGTTTTTCTTTACCGCTTTATTTTGTTTTAGTCTAATGTTAAATGCTATTTATTACGAAATAATGTTCTTATATAGCACGCGGTCTATCCAATGAACGATATGTAATGTAACGTGCTACGAGATATAGCGTGCTGCAAAACTTAACGCGCTTGCCGGGCCCCTACACGCTTTCTTATAAATAGCGCGCTATAACATAGCGTAGCGTAGCGCGCTAGAAATTTATAGTTTATAGTCTGTAGCGTGCTATTGATATATAGTGGTTTTGAACAACTTTAATCATCATTATAATTAAACATGATCGTAGCGCATTCTTGTGGCCAAACGGCAAAGTTTATTCTTGCCAAAATACAATTATATATATATACTAACAATATTTTGCTTGTTGTCCGTGTCAGCATCACCGCGGCAAAGAGCGCATTGCTCGGAGCCGCAGCGTCCACCACATGTTTGACCATCTGTGCCTCCATTTTGAACTGCGTGTAGTGTGCCGTTCTTTGCCACCTAAAATGATATAATAACTTAATTAATTTTAATAGTCAGAAATAGTAAAACAGTTGACACTTTTAAAACTTTATTAAAAAAGTTTCTGATTTCCGTACAAAAAATCCAGCAAATAGGCATAAATGGTATGATTCAATCTCAATGCCAGTACCGTACATGCACATACGAACGCACTCACATACTCAAACACGCATGCACACATACACATACACAATTTATTTTATTTTTTCTGTATGCATACCACCGTTCGTCCATCTTTACACTATCAAAGTTGCACGGACACGTGGAATTTTGACAGTTTTTTTCTCTGCCTCACACTCCTGGCTTCACTGAAAATCAGCGTTACGAATTGATGTATTTATATCTTCAATTCGTGACTTAAAGCTGAGTGGAGACCATTTTGGTGCATATTTTGTTATTACTTTTTAAATATTTTTGATAAGATATTAAAAAATGTTTTATTTTTATTTTTTTTTTGTTATAATGTATGTACCAAATAAACTTTTCTTTCTTTCTTTCTTTCTTTCTTCTAATACATAAAATACAATATTTTTATTTCATTCATCAAGTATTTAAAAATTAAGTACATTGGCCCATAGCACTATATTTTTTATAATTTTAAAAAGTTATCTTTAGATTAGATTTCTAGTTGAGCCATATTCTCGATAACACTAGCTTGATAAAGTCTAAGCCTATTTCAGGCTATTACTAATATTTTAAAATATCGTAAGCGGATGTAGTAATGGCGATAGAGGTGTGAAATTGTTTCTATTTGAATATTGAGGAATATTGCAATGCAACGGTCCGACGTTCGTATTTGGTTCGTTTAATTATGAAGTAATTAAGAAGTGAATAGAACGTATGATGTCAGCCTTGAAGCGCATCGGTCGATTATAATAACGCTTGTAATTTTGTTGTGAGCGAAAGTTTTCATGTAAAAACATTTCAGATTTGAAATTTAAATTGCTTAGATCCGTACGCAAAAAGGTATGGATTGCTTAGTTTGAAGAGCACTGATGATAATACTTATTAAACCTTATTAAGAGGCAAAGCACGTGCCGCGTTTCTTATTTTGGTAATATACTTACAATACAATACTTATCAGAATTTTTACACTAATGGTGAATAGTAATAGATAGTACATACCAGTTTATATGTACTATCTATTACTATTAATATACTTATTATGCTGATATTAGGAAAGTGATTTTGCTTCACAACTTAAATATAACGAATTTATTCAAGGTAGGAGGGCGTCAGTGTTAACTCACAATTTCAACAAATAGAAAAAGAACTCGTCTGTCATTCCTGCTAATCGACATATATATCAACCGAATGATGACGAAAAATCTATTCAAAGACCCCGAAATTGTTTCCAGATTTTGGAGAACGGTATTACCAGCATGAGGGTAATGAATCAGGACTCATTAGCCAATTACTCAGCGTAGTAAAAGTGAGTTATTCATTTAACGAAATGCAATATCCAATACCGTTCCCTCGTCTTTTCTCAGAAGGTCCTTTTTGCGAACTGGTTTAGATTTTGACATTCATAAGAACTTTAAACATGTTTTATATTTTTAATTTAATACAAAAGTTTTGATTTCAAAGCAGAAAGGGGTAGCAATAAAGGATGAGAAGTAACTTGTATAATTTGGTAGAGAATCTAGAATTTGTACGCACGGATAAAGCCTTGTGCAAGTACCGCATTCATATTACTGCATTTTACGTGGTAGAGCCACGCTGCAGCTATATTGTAGCTGTAGCATGAATGTGTCGGCTAGACCGGGGCAGGACCACGCTCTCAAAGAATATCAGCGGTGTGTTTCGTACGGTGAGTGTAGAGAACCGGAGACCCTTTTTACAGGAAACGGGGCATTCCATCTTAGTCCTCGGTTAATAACTTTATATTAATTTTGTTACAATTAAATTATAATATAAACGCATTTTTAAAGTTTTATTTTACAGTTAGTTTAGTTACGTTACCAATATTAGGCCAGGGTTGGATTCAGACCCTCAAAAATATTGTACATGGAAAATAAAATTATACTACATATTTTAAAAAAAAAATTATGTCACGTTTGACGTTTCACGTTTCTTTTTTCCCGTGTGCCGGGATTTTGGCGTCACGCTTCTGGTTTATCTATACGTTACGTTTTTTGTTGTAAGGTTTTATTGTCATTTCTGTTTTATTTTTGTTTAAAGATATAAGTATTATATTTTTGTTTAAAGATATTGTAAGTTAAATTTTGAATATTGGTACCTAATATATTTTATATTCAATAAGGGTAAAACGAAAAGAGTACAAAAGAAACCATATCTGCTTAATTGAATCTGAAAATCTGATTCATAAAATATTTTGAAATTTTGTTTTCAAATCGATTGCTTCTGGAGCATAGAGTTTTTATCGTGGTAGCCCCTCATTATAGTTGTATCAAGGATGCAACATAAATGCATCGATCGAGCACCGATTGACCAGAAAGGGAGCTAATTCAAATTTTATTAAAAAAACGCGATACCGATGTAAAACACGAAAATTTTTGATATCTTAGGGTTAGTATTAAAAAGTAAAAGGACCCAATAATAATACAAGTGGACCTTGAGGTAAAATTATGCTATTTTCGCTTAGTGTTATCACGATAATTATACTACGAAATCCGACCCTGGTTACGTCGTATAATTATATGACGTTTGTATTGTTACGAGCTTGAGGTTCGTGACAATAAAAATTGCTGATAAAATTACCTAAATTAACACTTTAATTTTCTTTACACAAATTAAAACTTAAAACACTAACAATCACACTGATTCACTTTATTCCGCTCCGAAGCTTCCGAATCTCTGTTACCCGACACTAGATGGCGCTATTGCCAGATGTCAACTTAGCCACGCAACAGTATTATGACAGATGCGCTAATTTTTTTGTATGAAAAAGTTATGAATAAAATATTTATATGGGCCTATCCTTCCTTTTGAAATCATTGACTAAAATTCGTCAATAATTATAAAAAAAATGTGTTATAACTATTTAGTCAAAATTTGCACGCCTTGATAAGGCAGAATCACTGACCTCTATATATACAAGTACGCTGGACTGGCTATACGATAGAAAATGACTGTGCCAATTTGAAACGCCGCTAAAGGATGTCTTGAAAAATAAAATATTGTCTTATTTAATAAGTCTGTATTTTAAACTTTTAAACTAAAAAACGAAAGTATTTTATGTTGTTTGATTGTGTATAATATTAGTTACATAATAAGAATTATTTTTATTAATAATGAGAGTGTGCGTAATCTGTAAAACTCGTTACCGAATGGGAAGTGGTATAACATTTCAAAAGTAAGTGAATTTGCAGCAAATGTTAAGCAAATTAAAACTATATGATAATATAAGTACTTAAAAATTTGTTACTAATCTTAATATCATATATACCAACATCTTGGGCTGTATATTACTGAGTTTTGATAAACAATAAAATTCAATAAGGTTGTCGAGTTCCTTGTCTATAATACTTATCGATGTTCTTTCCTACCAATATCTGTTAACAAGCAAACAACAGACGATTATCAAATGTTTATTAATTAACAGGTTTCCAACTGAACCTATACTAAAATTATGGTATAAAAGCATAAATATTGTGAATTGGCGTCCGAAACAAAATGATCATATTTGTTCCAAACATTTCACAGACGACTGTTTTATTAGACATGAGAACTGCACCACTCTGAAAAAGTGCAGTATACCGACAATATTTTCTGGTAGTACCAGTAAGTATAAAAGTATTAGATTATTATTTCGAATGTTTTTTTTTTATTTCTTCTTTCCTTATTTTTCACCAAACTCAAGGGCCACAGCCAAGTGTCTAAAGGTCGCCTGATGATGTCGAGCAACGTTGTATGTGTTTTAGTGGGCTGCGGCCTGAGGAGATTCCTCTCCCAGTACCGCTGTAGTCGAGGTGGAGTCGTAAAGGAAGAGGAGTGTTGGTATGGCGATTGGCAATGCGCCACTCGACTATCTTTCGCGACTTTGGTGAGGCTGCACCACTTGATGCTTCCAAGTGATAGTTTTCCCTGGTTCCATTCACATATCGGGTTCGGGGAGTCCATAGTGCAGGTGGAGTTAGAGGACGCGAAGGGCAGTGTGGCTTGTTTCTGGTGCGCCTTATCTGAGAATGAAAACGGGGGAAGAAGTCAGCAACTAAGGAGGGACTGCCATTGGGCGGCATTATTTACACTTACGGCAAATTATGTGGACCTCAAATCTTGGATTGTGCTTTACAACAGCAGTATTTTGGTTTAATTAGAGTTTATTCCACCAACTACCAACTCTGGAGTAACAAAAGCCAGTATTGGATTCTCTACGTTTGTGTTACAAAACGCAAAATGAAGTTATCTTGGTGTAAGACCAAAGAGTAAAATTATTCGAGGGTTAGTTACTCTGGTTTAACATAGTATTTGGTCGAATCCATCCTTAATACACGGTTAAATAACCGTGTAATAATGTTATGGTATTCTTTAATATAATGTTGAGTTCTGGACAATGTATGCAAAGCTCTATCATAAATATTTCCTCGATTTAAGATCTTTGTAGAATATTAGAGACGGTACGGTTCTTTTTCATTCTGATTGCTTGAGAGAGAAAGAGATAAAGCTTTAGTGTGGGATACTACTTGCGAACACTTTGACAGCATCCCATCTCAGCGGTACCTCGTCTAAAACAGAGGTGGCATTAGAGGCAACTGAACTAAGTAAATAGCCCAGAGAATATAGAAGATGACTACAGGTTTGTGCAATTTGCTGTGGAGACTATTGGTCCGTAGGGTGCACGTGCGGTGTAGTTCCTAAAAAACTGTATCTGCGACTGATCTTTGCTGCTGGTAATAAGAAGTTGTTTAGTTTGTTGTTTCCGCGCTTGAAGGCTAAGTATAGCCATTCAGAGAGGACACGTAGCCAGCATTCTTGGGACGATACCACGGAAAGTAGATATATAATTTAGTAATTTT